AGCCTCGTTCCCAGAGAATGGCTCCTTTGTGAAGTGCATGCTGGTGCTGCACAAGACTTCATTTGCCTGTCTTAGACTTGACCTCAAACTTGCCCGAGGCAAAAAAAGTACAATGTGGTCTCTGGCACAACTGTCAGTAACCACCACGGGCCACGGTGTGTGGACACTCGAAATGGTTGACAGTTTCCTCTAGAGTCAAACAATAGATGAAGCAAAAAGCATCAGAGGGGAGCTGGGCCACGTGGCCTTGGCGAGGGCGGGAAAGCTGGGCTCCCAGCACATTCGCGAGTGTCTAGAAAATGCACAGGTGCACGCTTGTCAGATAAAAGGGGCTCCCAAGGGTCTTGACTGTTATCGACACAGCAGCTCGTGTGCCAACCATTTTGATCCTTGAGATACTGGACTTGAGACATCTACTAAGGGGTGGGGGTGGGGGGATTGCCCAACACAGGCTGATGCACAAGAGGCAAAAAAAAAAAAAAAAGCAACCCCCACAACAGGGATGGACGGTGGATTTGGGCAGGCAGAAGCAACCACCAGTGGCCTTGAGATTGCCCACCCTGATGAATAGTGAGGACGCCACAGAGTCCTGGAGACCGATGGGACACTATCAATCAACCCGGGTAACCAAGGCACAATCAGAAAGATATGACAGAGAAAAAGAGGTAGCAAGGATATGTGAATGAGAGCTCAAAACTTCTCACATTTTTTGAAGCACTTCTATCAAAAATGTGCAAAGGGTGGGTGTTTGGCTTAGCCATTAAGCCACCAGTTACGTCCATGTCCCACACGGGAATGCTTGGATTCAATCTGTCTTATCTTCCTGCTAATAATGTGCGCCCTGGGAGGCAGCAGCGACGGCTTAAGTAGTCAGCTTCCTGCCGCCCACGTGGAAGACCTGCGTTACCTTCCAAGCTCCCAGCTTTGGCCCTAGCAGGCATTTCAGGATTGAACCAGCAGATGAAGCATGATTGCTGTCTCTCTTTTCAGTAACTGGGAAATGTACAAGAAGTCCAGTGCACTCCAAGTAGTGTAAGTTCACATTATAGTCAGTTGAAGGTCAAAGACAAAGAGAGACTCATGAGAACAACCAAAAGTGCCTCGTCACACATGAGGGACACTGGAGGGCTATAATTTTTTTTAACAGAAAAATGCTGCCAATGGTGTCAAGAAATTGGAAACCGCACGCATTGCTTGTGCAAATACAAAAGAAGTTGACAGTTCCTTAGGAAGTTAAACACAGAGGTACCCTATGGTCCAGAAATTCTGCTCCTAGGGATACACCCAGCAGGACTAAAATTACGTTCATACTGCATGAGTAGCCCTAGTGGCACCATTGCTAACAGCCCAAAGTGGAAGTGACCCAGTCACCCAGCAACTGAGAATAGAAAAGCACACCAGGCCACGTTGGCCCAGTGAGTGCCGTTGGGTCCTGGAAGGGAGCAGCACTGCTGGGAGCTACCACACGGGTGCACCTGGAGGCGCTGTGCTTCCCAAGAGAAGTCAAACACAGGAGGCGCTACAGGAGACAGCTCCATTCTCACGGAGCGCCCAGGACAGGAGCGTCGGCCACCGAGACAGCGAGTAAGTCAGGGGTCGCCGGGCCTGGCAGGTGGAGAGAACGAGGCTGACTGACAAGGAACTGATGAGCTGATGAGAAATGTAGTGAAATTGTGTGACTGCAAAGCCTGACTACACCAAAACCACTGCATCATACGCTTGAAAAGGTGAACTTAAGGAATGTGAATTATACCTCAATAAAACAGTGGTGTAGCTTGTCTCTTCATGTGGCGCAGGGAACGCACCCCACTCCTTGCTCCTGGATCAGCTAATGCGTCAGCCCCGTGATGTCAGCAGACGAGACGATACTGGAAGCTTAACCCTGGTCTATACAGAGCCCGTTGGGATGCCTCTGAGTGACTGTGGGGCTGGGCGATTCCTCCCCCTCCCCAGTGTCAAACACCATGTGTGTATTTTTTTGGAATCAGTGACTCCATATCTGCGGTCCCTGACTGAAGACCCAAACAACCATTAGTGAAAAACATTCAGAAAATTTGCATCTGTATTGAACACAGACTTGTTTCTTGTCATTATTCCCTAAACAACGTGATATAGCAACCACTTTTTTGTTGCATTTACATTGAAGTAACACCTTAAGAGTAGGGACTCCATTTTAGGGCACCCGAGACTCCATCTTGAGAAAGCACCCCTTACTGTGAGTCTCTGGTCTGAAACTAAGACAATAACAATACACTACGTCTTGCTTGGTAGAACATAGAAATCCCCTAGCATGATTGCTCAAGCTTAAAACAGATAGGCTGCACCTGGACTAATGTCAAGGTTATAATTTGTATAAGCCCCACATACAATTTAAGTCGGTACCTGGACTAATGTCAAGACTGTCATTGGGGGGTGGCACTGTGGCATAGTGGGCTAAGCCTCTGCCTGCGGCACCAATAACATATGGACACTGGTTCTAGTCTAACCTGGCTCTCTGCTATGGCCTGGGAAAGCGGTAGAAGATGGCCCAAGCGCTTGGGCCCCTGCACCTGTGTGGGAGACTTGGAGGAAGCTCCTGGCTCCTGGCTTCAGATGGGCCCAACTCCAGCCATTGTGGTCATTTGAGGAGTGAAACAGCAGATGGAAGACTTTTCTGTCTCTCCCTCTCTCTGTAACTCTACCTCTGCAATAAATAAAATCTTAAAAAAAAAGATTGTAATTGATATTGTCAAGATTGTGATTGAGTTTTGCATATGCTTTAGGTCAACTTGACCCTAGTAACCATGTATTCCCCCTCCTCTCCTTGTGGTTTTTGCCTTTATAAACCCTGTTGCTTTGAGCTTTGGGGTCAAGCATTCTTTAGGGCATGAACCCGCTTTCCACCACTGGCTAAAATAAAGAACTCATTCCAAATTCTCGTTGTGTGGCAGTTCTCTATGGCTGGCTTCAGGTAAACAACATTAAATTAGGTATTAAAATAATGTAGACATGACTTAAGGTATGTGGGAGAATTGCATAGGTTCTTGGCAAATACGCTGCCTTTTTATACAAGAGACTGGAGCGTGCGTGGGTTTTGGTGTCTGATGGGGCAGGGGGAGGGCAGTCCCGGAGCCAGCGACCTCTAGGCTGTCTTTCTTTTATTGGCTACATTCCTGCAGCAAGATGCTGGGAGACGCATTCCCAAGAGTGCTGGGAAAAGTATGGATATTCACCCTCAGGTGAAACTTTGGGTCTCCCTCCCACTGGCCGCCCAGAGGAGCCACCTGAGCCAGCACAGGGCTTCGGGAGGTCTCGAGTCGGGTGTGCCCGAGGGGCACCCAGCAGCCTGGTGGGGCGGGAGTGATGGCTTTCCACGGAGGAGACGGTGCAGAAGCCAGCGCCATGCACTGAATGTGAGCGTGGGTGCCCCGTCCACTGGCCAGCATCGAAGCCACGTGTCCCCGGGGATGTTCTCAGTCCCTCTGTTGCTCAGTGCCCTGCCCTGTACTGTGGACAACAGGGCCTGCATATTAGGAGGGCTGTGAGGTTCAAATAAGTAAACACAATGAAGAAAATGGCTGGTGTTTCGTAAGCACCACCTACGTGACTATTCAGTTCTGGAGTGTTTGGCCAAGTCAGCAAGACCTCAGGGACTTGTGGCCTCCGGGAGGGTCCGTGGAAGGCGAGGAATCAGGGGAGGATGCGGCTTCCCCTTCCCCGTGGGCATGGGGCCAGTGCTCTACAGCGCACCGTCCAAGTCTGCTGCAGTTTGAGAGGTGGCACGGGCAGAGTGAAGAGCCAAAGTGACTCCATTTTAAAACAATAAAAAAACAGCCTCCATTTCCCATAGCAGATCCGGGTCCTTGTAAAAGCAGGCATTCAGGCATTCCAGAGATGTCAAAGCTTACCAGGGACAGCTAGCTCGGTAGACCAAGGACAGCACAGTAGAGACTGCTAAACAAAGTAACTCCCTGCGCCCAAAGCTTCCATGCTGTATGTAACTCTTTTTTTCTGCTGATGTAACCCTTTTTTACTTTAAAAACTCTCCCAAAGACCGAGGCCTCACTCCTTCCTCCGTTGTGCCGGTTGGTTGGATGGGGTCCCTGTCGCGGCTTGTACTTTTAAAATAAACCTTCCTTTTGCAGTTCGGTGTGATCGGGTCGCTGATAGCTTCTTGGGGATCTACTTATCTGGGCACAACATCTGGGGGCTCATCCGGGATCCTCAGAAGCCCCCAGCGACCTTATCCCCTAAGGTTTATAGCAGTTGACTGGGTGAGTTCGTCAGTCTGTTTGTTGGTTGTTTAACTGTGTCTAAGTCTGAATCTGTAGCATCGGCTGCCGTTGCATTTGTAACCTTGAATTTGTGGGTTCTGCCCAAGCGGACGTGTTTGAGGGGCAAACCTGGAGGAGATGGGAGACGTTCCGACTCCTCGCTTGGGTGAGGATTCCGATCACGAAATCCTCCTGTTTGGGATCTGGGAAGGTCCAAGTTGTAATTCGGGGGACGAGGAAGGGTTGCTGCAGAACCCTCATGCCATCTGCACAGTCTTTGGTCTCATTTAGCCCCCAACCTTGGAGCTGGAGAGACCTTTTGTAACAAGACCATTTGACTAGAGAAACGGGCCCTGTGTTTGATCCTCTTTTTGTTAAGTGGAGTTTGTCTTGTGTTATTTCTGTTGACAACTGACTTAACTGGACAGAACATGGGGGCGACTCCATCCTCTCCACCAGATCTAACTCTTGCACATTGGGTCACTGATAGCTTCTTGGGGATCTACTTATCTGGCACTGACTTCTACTTTGTGGTTTCACAGCACTGTCATCAGTGCCATGAAGTGGCTTCCCTAATGTTCTATCACTGATGAGTGGCGAATCCAGGGAGCACAGCTGGATCCCTGGGAATGGAGATCCCTGGACACCTGACACCCCTGGATTGTACCCTGGCCACGGCCAAGGGCTCTCCTCTCTTTCCAGGATGTGGCCACCCAAAGGTGGCTGCAGCCAGGAGGTGGACGTCCTGGAAGAGGAACCCGGCCCCACAGGCAGACTCAACTCTGGGCCCTGCCTCTCTGCATTTCAAGCCCCGGCCCTCTGGCAGCCGAAGGCCCACGGGGCCACACTGGTGCCCCTCCCCCAGAACACATGACTCAGCCCTGCGCTGAGGCTGCCCCGCGTCATGTGACCACCCCGAGTGCTCAACTCCCAACTGTCAGAAGCCAGGACATTCCATGACAGTTGCACTGAGAGCTGGCAGCAGCTTCAACGGACCAGAGCTGGGGGATGCGCCGCCAGGAGTCACAGCCGAAGTGTGGCCTGCAGGCTGGTGCTCAGTGCCTCAGGCCAGCCCTGAGCCCCCAGTGTCTCATTCACCAAAGAGCTGAGTAGCCGGATGAGGGCCCGGCTGAGTACGGGCAGTGGCCACACCAGCCCCAAGCACACGCCTTTGCTGGACCCCGGTCCCTGGTGTGCAAACTACAGCTGCCCTCAAGAGTCCACTTCCAGGCTCCACTGCCCTGGGGCCGGCAGAGGCGTCGCGGGCAGGGAGGGTATTTTCGACTCCCCCTTGGTGTGGAGCTGGACACTGTGTCCATCTGCCGAGGTCCTGGGCACTGGATTTCCTTGACCAGATCATTTTCCCCGCATCTTCTGAATTTGGTCTTTTTTGTGCATCCTTGAGCCGTGATCCTGGAAAATACATGGAAAACAGCATTCTGACATGGGACAGCCTCGGGCCACGGCAAGGTGTCAGTCACCGCTCCACTCCCAGCTCCGGCTTCTGCTCTCTTGCTCACCCACTGCCTCAAATGCGGGCTTACTGGGGGGATGCTGGGGCGCGGTGCACACAGGATGCCAACAGGAAGCTTGTGGGGGACACACTCTATGAACACCACAAGACGGCAGCCAAGCAGGGACCGGGAGCCTGGGCTTGGATCTCACACGAAACCACGAGAACTTGGGGAAGTTCCTGTGCTGGGCCAGGAGACCGTCAGGAGCGCCTGCTGCTCCGTGCTGGACTGAGGAGATGAATGGCCGCAAATGCACAGGAGAGCTGCAGGGAGAGGCCTGGTACTTCCTGAGCCTCGTGCGGCCTCACTCACACATGCACTTGGTGTCTGTGGGAGGGCGCCAGGCGGTGTGGCCTGCAGAAGGCCACCTGGGAGGTGACTTTTCCAGCCTTGGCCATGGGTGTGAGGCTTCACAGCTCAGAGTCTCTGGTCTCATCTCCTGGGAGCCCCATGTCAGTCCTTGGGGTGGACAGAGCAGGGCTGTGCCCCAGGCTTCACAGTTGAAGGCACTGAAATGAAGTTACTTGACCAGAGTCGTGCACTGAGGGGCGAGGGAAGGGGGTGGGAGACATAGTGTGTGCCCTGGGGACAGAGAGCCCTGAACACCTGAGTCCTCTGGATTATGCCCAGGACTCCTGAGCCGGGAGAGCTGCCCTCACAAAGCGCCGCATTTCCAAGGTGCTGCAGGGAGCTAGGTGATGTCCTGGGGGAGGTGCCTGGGCCAGGAGAAGGGCACATCCCTGACCCAGCCTCCTGCCCTGTGTTTTTATCCCTGAGCCTAAGCTGTGCAGTTTTCTGAAAAGCCCGTTGAAGAACCAGCCCCGGCCCTTATCCTCAGCATCTCCACACTCTCAGCTGCCCCAGGTGCACATCCCAATGGACAGGTGATACCTGACAGCCCAGAGATCTGCTCCCAAGTGGCTCCAACCCAGACCTCCCTCTCCACACCAGCTCCTCACATGGCTCGCGCTAAAGTGAATTAGTTGGTCTTTAATGGCCCTGCTCTTAGATCAACATCTGGTGTTGCTGAAGGGGGGCAGGTGGAAGGTGCACAGGGGTTATAGGGGGGCAGAAGCCGTGAAGCTGCCGAGTCCCTGCTGCCTGCTGATTGGAGTGATGGACTGAGCAGCTGGACCAAGGCCTGACTGGGAACAGGCAGTGTCTGAGCCAGCTCTGGGCGTGCACCTTCCTATTCATGTCCTTTCTTCCCCGAACTCAGTTCCATCAAACCTCATCCCTCCCTAGACCCTGCAGGACCAGAGGGCAGAGTCCCCTCTCTTCTTGGAGGGACCTGGCCATAGCCACAGCCTGAGACCCTCTCTTAGGGCTACCCACAGCCTCTTCCCCTGGCCACCAAATGTTTACGTTGCTCACCACGTCCCCAGGAAGCCCCCCAGAACAGGGGTCCTGACATCATCAACCCTGCAGAAATGCTGCCCTGAAACCCCAGTTTGCCTCCTCCCTGAAAACCTCTAAATCCAGGGGCCGGGGCTGGTGTGAGGTTTTGCCGACCTCTCTCAGGAGCTCTGGGGCCGCCGATCCCCACCCCTCTGCCCTGGCCCCTGCTGTGAGGTCTGTCGCTGGGGCAGGTGGGTTTCCGCCGGGCTGCTTCTTGGGGCAGCTGTGCAGATCGACTCCATTTCCTTCCTAAATATTTGGTAGATTCAGAGACAGCTGTCTGGCCTTGAACTTTGCAGGAAGTTTCTTGTTTGTTAGTGGATGCTTAATTCACCTGCTGTCCAGTGCACACCTGTTAAGGGAAGGGGTAACAGGGCCTGACTTGTTAGGGACAAGAAGCAAAGCAGCTGCCCCGGGATTATGAACACAATGGGACAAAACTACATACATTTGTTTTATGTATTTACAAATTTGAAAAACAGAATGCACACAAGTTGCTTGTAATCATACCTCTTACACACACACACACACACACACACACACAATGCATTGATTTTCCTTCTGCTTTTACATACATAGAAGAAATCAATAAAAACTTGGCCCCAAAGATGGGGACCTAACATATTAACCTCAAGTCCCCAGGGGTGCAAAGCCAGGATGGGTAGGCAACCCAGCTTGAGTGTCAAGGAGCCCCAGGACTCCCGTGTCGTCATCTTTTCCCTAGGAGGCCTGAGGACGAGGCAGGAGGTCAAGGTCACCCCAGAAATCCAGGCTGCCAGCACTAAATCTCTGATCTGAGGCTGCTTCCTGTTGAACTTAGTGGGGTTGGTAGTGCAGCGTTGGGACCTGCAGGGCAAAAACAGTGACAAATCTCTGGACACCCTTCACAAAGTGTGCAATGAGAGTGACAGCCCCAGAGCCACAGGCTTGGCCCTACAGGAAGCTACAGTGCTGTCCTCCAATGAGGGAGCCAGCTGAGGGCTGGGCTCAGAAGCCTTAGATGCTGACAGGCAATGGGGCGGCCCTGGTCCCCGAGGCACGTTCTCAGGACATCCTTGAAGGCCTGCACGGTGTTTGTCTCCCCTTGTTAATCACATGCACTGCCTGGTTTTGTTTGCTTTCCCTATGTGCCAGGAAGAGAGTAGGGAAGCAATGGGGAGGATGGACACTGAGTTGCCTTATTCTCCCTCTACCCACTGCACACTCACATTTCTGCTTCTTAATCTTGTTTCCTATCTCCTCAAGGCTCTGGGTGTAATTTATTGCAAGAGAATTTCTTGACGGCTGGACGGAAGAGATAATGGTGCTTGTCTAAAACCACTCAGTGCAGGAAAAATCCCATCAGTGGCATGCCCAGAAAGAAGCAGAGGCCACCGGTGGGGGGGGGCCTGTCCAGCAGCGGGGTACCCAGCTCTTCTGGCCCCTCTGTCCAGCTTCCTGCCTGGGCCCTTCAGGGTTGTTCTGCGTGATTCAGTAGTGCACCCTTGGGGTTAGAAATGTGGGAGAGGCGTTTGTAATGTAAGTATCGCTGCCTGGATGAGACTGGCAGCGTCAGGAGGAGCATGAGGAAAAGTGGGAGGGAGGGACTGGTTGGGGAAGAGCCACTGGGAGGAGCTGGCAAGCCAGGGACAAGGCGGGTACAGGGGAGTGGGGAGGGGACACAACTGACTGGGTTTCGGAACCTCAGACATCGGCGACATGATCCCCTGCAAGGACAGTAGCAGGAGGGCAGACGGGTGGGTGGCCTTGGGAAAGGAAAGGGGAGCATTAGCACTGGGGCGAGAGCTTGGGGCCCTGTGGCTCCCGGCAGAGGAAAGCCTGACCTTGGACTGCATTCTGTCCGCATCTCTGCACTCCTCTCGCAGTGCCTGGGTCCCTTTAACTCTGCAAGGAGCATATAGGGGAGGGATCTCCAGGAGCTCTTTCTGGCCCCCAGATGCTATAACTGTGATGAGGCAGGAATTTCGGTTCCTCCAAGTAGACAGCCACTGTCCCCCATCTTCCTATGCATGACAGACTCTTACCTTCTCATCTCCCCCCTCTCCCAATTACTACCCATTCCCTTGCTCCTTACTTCCCCGGTCATATTGCTCTCCAATATGCCACGATAAGAAGACTGATCTTGGGGACAATGTCACCTCCCATCAATCAGTTGGTGATTTATCCAATCCATCCTACCTGTAGAGAACCTTTCACCAGCCTCAGGCTTTGCTGGGCTCTGCAGAGAGGGAAAAGCAACTCCATACCACAGTGAGTGTCCTGTGTCTGAGATGTCTTTTAGCTACCCGGGAGAGGTTGAGTCTTCACAATAACCCCCTTCAATTTCCTAGCTCATTGGAGAGGTAACATAACTCGTCCCAAATCCCTCAGTCTTCAAAGGATGCCAAGGGGATTCCATAGTAGGTGGGCTTACAACCACATACATAAATGGGACCAGCCAGTGTTTGTACCAATCCATAGAAGGAGAGGGAAGGCACTCGGCAGGTCTTGGGGACAGGGAAAAGCTCTGGGCATGGCTGGGGATGGAAGAGGGGACAGGGCAGCTCTGTCTGCTAGAACAAAGGGTCTGAGGAGAGCAGAAACCCTCTAGCCCTTGCTGTTGTGGCCTGGTTGATTCCAGGAGACAAGGTCAGTGGGGATACGGGGGTCAGCGTGTGCAGCCGGCCCAACAGTCCCTGTCTTGGAATGCCTGAACCAGGGATTAAATGGCCTTGGTGGGTCTTGAGGTGCAGTTGAACATGGGCTTCTCAAATAGGAGAAAATTCAGGTTTTCTTCCCAGTCCCAGGACTTGGGATTGGGTGGGCAGTGACGGACAGAAATGTGGTCAAGGTTATGCTTCCTACTTCTCTTCGACAGCACACGGAGATTTTTTTTTAACCCCACTCAGCCCTGAGGGCCTTGTAAACCAGGAGTAGACAGTGAGGGCAGAGCACGCAGGAGCTGCTCCAAGGCCTGAGGCTGCAGAGGGAGGAGGGTCCTGGTACGCACTAGGAGAACCTGGTCCCAGGTTCAGGTAGTGTCCACGGAGGATGGCATCCCACCGGATTCCTTCCATTGTGGGCCAACACCCAGAACTCAACCCAGTTCCCAAGGGGTGCTACCCCACAGGAGCAAAGAATTTGAAGTTTACTGGGACAGAGCCACAATCCGGCATTGTCACCTAGGTCGTCTTGGAATGCCTGAGCCGGGGGGTGGGGGGTGGGGAGGGATGGGGCGAAGCCTCGCACACCCAGGACCAGAGGCACCGTACCTCTGACCTTCATGTCATGCAGACACGAACAGAACAAATCACGTGTTTCCATGTGTTTCCTTTTTCTTTCTGATGTCACCCTGCCTCTCCCTCGGTCTCCAGAGAAGCAGGTGTAACTCAGCTGTTCCCAGGCACCCTCTCCCATCGGGTCCCACCTTGGGGAGTTGCTACAAGCCTGCAGTGTCTTCATCGGCTCTGTTTGACTCGCACGTCTGGGGGAGGAGCCGCTCTGTAGTGACCAAGCATGAACAAGGAAGCTGTTTGACAGAGGGGCTCCCCATGCCTGCTCCTGAGGCTGTACTTTTCTTCTGGGTTCTCCGGCCCTTATCCGAGGCTCTTGGATGCTAGAGGCCTTCAATGAGACATTGGTCCGAGTTGCAAAGTGTCCAATGGGAGGATTTCCCCCGTTTCGTCTTCCCATTTCCCCCATTTTTGCTGGGCCATCACTGCTCTTATCAACCTGGAAGCCCAGCTGTGACTGAAATCACGTTGAGCTACGTGAGTTCATCCAACAGCCCTTGGGCTGGGTTATGGTCAAAGGCCCCAGGCAGGGTGCTTGCTCTGTTAGGGCAGAAGTGTTCTCTCCAGTTGTCAAAAAGAAGGCGGCCAGTGGCACATATCTCTATGGAGCACTTGAGGTGCTGTGTGACCAAGGGCTTGCATGTTTAACTTCAATGAATTAATCAGTTACAAACAGATGCATCCCAGTGGAGCCTGGGGCACTGGCTAGTGTAGAGCTAGGTCCACAGAGGAAGGACACATGGCTTTTCTCCTCCAGTTTTTCTCTGCAGAGCAGCTTGCTGGCCTGTTTGACTGCTTATTTCCAGGCGCTCCCCAGGCCCATGCCTGAGGGTCAGGCACCACGTGACGCTGGGGAACTCTGGGACAGGGGTCAGTATCCAGGCCCAGAGGAAGTCTCAGCAGGGCCAAGTGTATAGAGGGGTGATGAGCAGGGCCTGGAAAATCCTGCCTAGATCCCGTCAGAGCAGTGGAAACGGGGGGCAGGGGCATGGTGCTGTCTTTAGGGGCCCACCTGCCTCAGACCCATCCCCCATCCCCTGGAAGTTTCTAGAGAAATGAATAAAACCTGGCTGTCATGTCCTTGGGTCGTCCAAGGGAGCAGCGAGGCCACGTGGACTGTGAGCTCAGACCCTGTCTGGGTGCTGAGCTCAGCCTGTGCTGGAGCCCCGCCCGCCCACCTGCCCTGCTCCTGGGATGCGACACACTGCACGGGCCAGACAGCTGCTGGCCGGCGGCATCTACACAAGCACGGGTTGTCAGGTGAAAGAGAAAAGCCTGGCCCTGTCCCATCCCCAGGGAGAACAGACCTGGAACCCGCCCCTCGGTCCCTGCTGATCTATGAGACCTAAGGCCCAGCCCGTGCCGCTGAGTCCGGTCTTCTCCCAGGAGTCCACTGGGCAGCTGTCTGCACTACGGCCCTCATGAGCAGGAAGCAGTTACAGAAGAGAGGATTCGACGGCCATCAGCTCCCTTTAGGGTTAAGGGGATGGAGTCTCTGAGGGGGGAATGAAGTAGGCAGGTGTACTCTAGTAGGCCAGACCTACGAGATGAGCCCCTGGAAAATCCAGGTGCCGAATGGTTTACTGATGGCAGCAGCTGTGTGAAGGAAGGAGTTAGAAAGGCAGGCTATGCCGTAGTGATCCTACTCAGACAATAGAAGCCCAAGCGCTGCCACACAATACTTCAGCCCAAAAGGCGGAGCTTATGCATTGACTAGGGCTTTACAGCTGGGAAAAGGCCAGCGAGTTAAAATATATACGGGTTCCAGAGATGCTTTCCTTGCGTTACATGCACACGCAGCAAGCTGGAAAGAGGGGGGCTTACTGACTGCAAAGAATTCCCCTATTAAATATGGAAAAGAGATACTGGCTCTACTTCAGGCAGTACTGGAGCCTTTAGAAGTGCAAGGGACATCAGAAGGGAGATAATTTTTAACCAGGGAAATGCGCCAGCAGATAGAGTGGCAAAAAGAGTGGCTACACAGGAGAGTTTGGAAATGGCTCTTATACCTCAGTCTGTGGAAGTGGCTAAGGAACCGAGATACACAACTCTACCCACTTGGGAAGAGATGCCCTAGTACAACTGGTCTCCCAAGCTTTTGGAGGAAAGGGACTAAATACGGTTTTCCCCAGGCCATAGCAGAAAGCTGGATAGGAAGTGGAGCAGCTGAGACTCGAACCAATGCCTATATGGGATGCTGGCACTGCAGGGGGTGGCTTTACCCACTATGCCACAGTTCCAGCCCCTCAAGTTCATTTTTTAAGGATTTATTTATTTATTTGAAAGTGAGAGTTACATACAGAGAGAAGGAGAGGCAGAGAGAAAGGTCTTTCATCTGCTGGTTCACTCTCCAGTGGAGTGAACGCAACAGTCAGAGCTGAGCCGATTCAAAGCCAGAATCCAGGAGCCACGAGCCACGAGCTTCTTCCAGGTCTCCCACACGGGGCCAGAGGCCCAAGGACTTGGCCATCTTCCACTGCTTTTCACGCTATGGCAGAGAGCTGGATCCAAAGTAGAGCAGCCGGGACTCAAAGCGGTGCCCATATGTGATGCCGGCACTGCAGGGGGCAGCTTTACCAGCTACACCACAGCACCGACCCAGTGAATACATTGTTAAAGACAAAAATTTTAAAGGAAATGAGTGAATGAAAACACAATGAGACTAAGAGAGAAGACTTCTCCCATTTTCATGATCAGCTCAAGGCTTAGACAGGTGGGTGGAGCTCTGAAGACTCCTGACACTGCTACAGCCTCCCTTTGGGGGACTCCGTTGTGTGGAGTCCTTTGTCCCTGCTGTGTCGTGGGGCCAGTAAGGAAAGTAAAGCTGAGCCCCAGTTGCACAAGTTCTTCAGTGACCAAGAATGGAGAGGCGGGACCTCACTCAGGAATGAACTTCTCAGCCTGTTGGGGGCTGGGGAGTCACAGGGCAACAGGGATGCTAATACGTGGGAGGAATATTCATGAAGCGCCTAGGAAAAGGGGTCCCCCTCCCAGTGTCTTCAGTTGTTACGGTAATTGCCCACTGTCTTGGCAAGGGTGGGAGTGTCACTTGACATGGAAATTAGTTTTGGAAGGAGCCAATTTGGGTAGCTGGTGCTGGTTGGTCAGTCCCTCTGGTTCTCACAGAGAAATGGTGTTAGGGTGGGGTAGAGATATAACTAGGCCAGGCATTGCCCTAGATAATGAAAAGTCCCTTTTGTATTTTTGCTCCTGTCTGGAGGGGTGCTGGGGTGTGTGTGAAAGTCTGTCTTCTATAACTTCTTCAACCTGAATTTGGATGTTAGAGGAAAGATATCTGTCTCTGGCTGGCTCTCACATAAATCTGGCTATCACCTGGCTGGAGCCCAGCTGCTCATAACCCCTGAGTAACCACCGGGCATCATTTTATAGCCTCAGTTTGTTTGGACACCCATGAGATCAGGCAGTGTAGCAGAGAGCTCACCCCACCCTCTACCCCAAATCAAAAGGAGCAAGACAGCTGCCAAGGGGCCCAGGAAGGGCAAGACCCCGGCAAGTGCAGGGCCTTGCTGCTTTGTGGTGTCCCTTGGGCCCAGGAGTCAGTGTCCTCTCACTCAGACAGGTGTAGCCATCTGGCTTGGTTGTATGTTTATCTGACATCCTCTTCCATTAGCCTTGGACTGTTTACCCAAGCACAACCAGATGAGTTGGTATCAAGTACGATATTGGACAAGGAGTCTAAAGAGCCCCATAGGGCGGGCAAGCACATCACCAAGATTACAGGTCTTGTTGCCGAGGGTAGCCCGGTGCTAGGGAAACCCCAGTCTGGGGGCTGGGAGACCTCCCGCAGTTCCAGCTGTCCAGAGAAAGTGCAAGTGCCCTCTTGCCTCTCTGCAGGGAGGTGTAGGACCATCCTGGCTGTTTAGTATGATCTCCCTTTAGTAGGGCCAGCCAGGAGAATGTCATCTACGTCATCTATTTGTTGGACCACAGTCCCCCGAGGACCACGTCCCCAAGGTCTGTGGCCAAAGCCGCCCAGAATATGGTGGGCGAGCCTTTGACTTGGAGAAGAACTGTCCAACATTTCCCTTGCCTCCTGTGTTACAGTCTTGTCGACTGTTGCAGATCAGATGGCAGCAAAGATTCCTTGGGGAACTCCCCAGAATGCTGTGCGGCAGCCCGCGTGCGGAGTATGGATACCAGTGGTTGCTCCCTGGCTCACCTTCGTGGGCCCCCGGGGTGAGACTCCTGCTCTGGAGGGGAGCCAGCGGCCCCTCTCTTATCCTTTGCAGGAGTTCAAGGTTGGAAACTCTGTACTTTGGAAGGGATGGAGGGCCTAGGGCTGGGTAGCCCTCCCGCATAGGGGCCTGGTCTCGGAATGGGGGTGTCCCAGTCCTGCTCATCCTTGGGATCTTTTCCTCAGCACAGGGAGTCCCATTTTCAGTTTTTAAATGCCAAACCTTTTGCTTAAAATGCTTTTAAAAAAGGTGACATAATGATGGCAGGTAACGAATTGTAGTTTGGATTTTTCAGCCACGGTGCTTTAGTGCGGTTCTGTCTGATGGATGTTCCCCCGACAAGGAGAGACAAAGCTCCCTTGTGCCCTCACTTCTACCCGAAATTCACACCTGAGCCCTACCCCACGCCGCACACCCTGTCCTTCCTTAGGAAATGAGAGTCAGGGGACCCGCCTGCAGTGCCCAGGGCAGTTCATGGCAAGAGGCAGGCTGCAGAGAGTGGCGGCCCTGGGTTGAAGTCATGGACGGGGTTCCGTGGCTTGGGTGTGCAGCAGCCAGCTGACCTGTGGGTGCCGTGGTCTGCAGGCTGCTGACTCAGCCCGTGTTTGCCTTCTTCCCGGAGGGCACCTGAGGCTTGGGTGTCCGGGAAGGAGCAGGTGCCCTGCAGGCTTCCTAAGAATCTCCGGTAGTGCAGCCCCGCTCTGCTCTGAAGCCCAGGGGCTCACTCGCCCTTCCAGTTCACGGGTCTGCTCTGTTCCTGATGGCCCCACCCCTCAGCGCCCGGCTCTGGGCACAAGTCCCGGGGGAGGACCTCCACCTGGGGGCCGCAGCGGACCGAGTCTGAGACGGTGGGACTCACAGCTGGCGGCAGGCACTGGGCCCGGTGCTGGCAGCGGTGGTGGACTGGACGGCGGGCCTGGGCTTGGCTTTAGCATGCCTGGGAATACAGGTCCCGGGACACCCAAGAGAAGGGCCTCGAAGGAGAGTGGGCTGGGGCAGCAGGTGCCGGGACAGAGAGGGAAGACGAGGCTCTACCCACAGCTGGAGACCCCGGCCAGCAGCAGGTGGCTTCTAGCTCCAGTCCCCCCGGGGGCCATGGGGTGGTCCGAGGGAGGTGGTCGGGATCTCTGATCTGCAGCATGTTGGAAAGGCTGCTGTGGGATTCGACGGCTGGCTGAGCTGGAGGCCCCCAACCACAGGGCCCGGCCCGGAACACCGCCTTTCCCAGGATGCCTTACTTCCCCCTGGGACCTGGGGAGGGGGAAATTGGGCTCCACGTGGAATTTCACGGAGGTGTCATCAACTTCTCAGGAGACCCCACTACCCATAAAAGGAGGCGCTCGCTCTCTTCCATGGGAGACAGAAGGAGAACAGGTGTGGAGGGCGCCCCCTCCCTCCACTTCCCCACCGCTAGCCCGTGTGTGTGTGTGTGTGTGTGTGTGTGTGTGTGTGTTTGCGTGTTTGCTTTCTTACCTTCTATATAAACTCTATCCCTGTGCACCGTGTATGTGCCTGACTTGAAAGGCAAGGACCCGGATTACCATGAAGCCCCACTTCTCCCACCTGGAGGCCACTGCCCTGCCCTGCACCACGGACATCATGGAAACACCACGGAGAGTGAGGGCAGGGATAAAGACGGGAAACGCCAGAGGGCCGGGCACGGCCCCAGTCAGCCGGGGAGGCGTCTTCTCCCCAGACACAGCCTGGCTGATTCTCTATTCTGAGGATTTGCACGAATCTGTGAGGCTTTGACAAATCAAAGTAGGAGCAGGCGTTTAGCCCAGATGCCTGTCTGCACCGGAGTGCCGGGTTTGGTTCCTGGCTCCCGCTCCTGATCCCAGCTGCTGCTGGTGCAGACCTGGGAGGCAGTGGTGGTGGCTTGGATGGCTGGGTTCCCAACACCCATATGGCAGACCTGCATGGAGACCCTGTTATTGGCCCAAATGAGGCTGCTCGCCGCTCCAAAGCCAGCTGAGGCAAGGGAACAGGTTTATTCAAGAAGCCGGCACCCCTGGGGGCAGGCGGACTTCTTTAGTCCAAATATTTGCTCTTCCCTGATTGCAAGCCAGCAGGGGGACTGTGCAAAGGAGAGGGGAGGTGGGAATCCGGAGAATGAAGACAGGCGGCTGTGCGCCTGGCTCTGGGCTCTGGCTGGGCAGAGGGGCTGGTTGGAGTCACGTGGGTTCCTTCCTAGCTGCAGTCACCGGTCTGGCCCTCCGGATGCCTGACCACGGAGGGCCAGAGTGCTTGGCAGCGTCTGGGATTCTCAAGCCAGCATTGTTGTCTGTTGAATTGAATAGGCTCGAATTAGTCACAAGCTCGTCGTGAGCTTTTTTTTTTAATTTTTAATTTTATTTATTTATTTTTGACAGGCATAGTTAGACACTGATAGAGACAGAGAGAAAGGTCTTCCTTTTTCCGTTGGTTCACCCCCCACGTGGCCACTATGGCCAGCGCATTGTGGCTGGTGCGCTGCGCCAATCCGAAGCCAGGAGCCAGGTGCTTCCTCCAGGTCTCCCATGCTGGTGCAGGGTCCAAGGACCTGGGCCATCCTCCACTGCACTCCTGGGCCACAGCAGAGAGCTGGACTGGAAGAGGAGCAACCGGGACAGAATCCGGTGCCCCAACTGGGACTAGAACCCGGTGTGCTGGTGCTGCAGGCGGAGGATTAGCCTAGTGAGCTGCTGCGCCGGTCTCGTCGTGAGCTTTTGTTAACTAGAACACGGAAAGACGAAGGGAGAGGAGTTCGGGACCCCTGCAGCCCTGGATCCTGGCCTCTGCAAGGCCCAGTCCTGACTGGCACAGCCATCTGGGGAGTGACCCGGTGGAAAAGAGTGCTCTCGCTCGCTCTCTTCTCAATTTTTTAAAAATTAAATTAAGAAATGGGGGAAAAAGTTAATGCGATTTATCTACTTTTAAAATGCATTTTCCATAGGTTGCCATGTATTTTGCTTGTTTTATTATATAATTGTTTTATTATATAATGCCCTCAATAAAGGGATAACAGCTATTTCATTGCCCCCCAAAAAATCAGTGTAGAATTAAATACTTAAATTCTCATTGAAGGTGGAAATGAACATAAAGGTGGCTTTTCAGAGAAAAGCTGAGATAATGAAAGGAACAGGGAGAAGGTTTTCAGCCTCAGAGGTCGAAAGGCTCAGCCAATATTGGTGGACAGCGCCCACCAATAAAATAGTAATGTTTTTTCCAATGGGGAATAAAATATGAGACAGAAGCCACATTGGGGGCCGGGGGTGGGGTCAGGGGCAAACGTCCTCATTTTGTGTGGAGTGAGATTTTTTCCCGTTGTCATCCTGTGTTAAAATTGCAAGGGCAACTTCAGTCGCGGCAGCCGCGGCAGAGGGCGCGAATCCCAGAGCACAGCTTTTAAAACGCGGGAAAGAATAATCTCCGGGATTCCGTGCCAGGGAAGAACGCCCGGGGAGAAGGCGGCGGGGCGGGCGGGGGGAGCCGGGGGGCCCTCACGGCTGCAATGGGCTGCGCGGGGGAGTGTAGATCCCCGTTGCCTGGGCTACAGGAGGCGTCCCGGGACGGGAGCGCACACAGGCCGCGCGCGCTCTCAGGACGCGGGACCTGCTCCACGGCGGCCAGGCACCCGCCTCGGGCTGTAGCAAATTGCTCAGTTGGAAAAATTCTGGCTGCCGGCTCCAGCCCTGCCCAGCCCAGTGACCCTGGGGATGGCAGCGGCACAGCCCGCGGGGCTGGGGTGGGGGGGTGGGGGAGAGAGAAGGGAGGCGGCGGGCACGGCACGCCCCCAGATTTCCTGGGCCGCCCTGGAGCTTGGGTGCCTGAGCCAGATCTCCCACTGCACCGCGTGGCCTCGCAGGGCGCCAGGCCCGCAGGCGAGGCACAGATCGCGGGAAGAACCCGGACCGCATCTGGCGCAGCTGGACTCCCACGTGTTTTTCCAGCTCGGTTCCGGACCGGGAGGAGATGCAGGGGCAGCGGCTCTCGGCCTTGGCTTGGGTGCGGAGCTCGGTGGGGGCAGGGGCTGGGGGCAGCAGCGCCTCAGCGAGGGTATTGGGGAGGGTGCATCTCCAGACAGCGGCTGGAAAGGAGGAGGGGAGAGGACTGGAAGGGAAATGCACCCCGCCAGAGTTGCTCCAGCACCCCAGGCTACTCAGTCAGGAGAGCAGGGAGTCCAGCTTCCAGCCATGACCTCCAGCCGCATGGCTGTGGACAAGCCCCTGCCTCTCTCCATGCCTCCCTACCTGTGCTGCCGGGCTGTGGAGCACACAGGTGGCCCCAGAGCGTGGCTGTGAAATGGGGGAAGTGTGGAGCATACAGTAAGTGCTCCGGTCGCCGCTGGCTCTCAGAACTGTTGCAGTCCAGTCCAGTACCTGCCTCCTACAGATGGGGAAACTGAGGCTCATAGAGGGGCGGTGAGTGGCACGAGACCACAGAACCTCTATCTTGCTGGTTCCAGCTGGGTCCTTGGCCGTTTTCTCTGTTCAACCCTCCGGCAGCGACTGGGTGGAGGCTACTGGGTAGACCAGGCAGGGGTCTCCTCTGGGTTGGGGGGGTGGGTGGCGAGTGGTGGGGACAGCTTCCTGTGCTGAGGGTAGTGCCAGGTACTTTACCTTACATCCTGAAAAGGCTTTGAAAGCAGTGTCCCTATCACCTCCAGCTCTGACAGAAGACAAGAGGAGGCTCAGAGATAGGGTCACTTGCTCAGAGACACACAGTGGAGGGAGAGGCTTTGTCTAGGACGGAGCCAGGGGCCATTCTGGGGAACTAGGTCCCAAGGCCAGCGCATGGTGGGCCTGGGAGTCTTTTCCATCCTCAGGAGGGTCACCTATGATTGTCCTCTTCTACCTGTTGGAAGAAGCCTCACTGGCGCGTGTTCAGCCCCCAGGTGCAGCCGACAGGCGCCCAGATCTCCCTGCAGGGGGCGGCAGCTCGGCAGCGCTGCATGCTCTTTGCCCGTCCCCTGCCCTGGGCACCTGCCCACCTACCACACTCCTCTTGGTGCCCTTGGGGCCTCAGGCAGAGCCCACCCGTCTTTCTTGGATTTTTTGGGACAGCTCTCGTCCCTGGGTCCTGGCCCGGAGCCATGGCACCAGTCCCTTCATGCACAGGGTTCTGTCCCAGCAGGGAGGTGGCCGCTGTCTGCCCTCCGGAGCTCTCCGGCCTGCAGTGCGAAGGTCCTGGCAGCGAGTCGTGCCTGCCTGCTGGCTTCAGTTGCATGGTCTTTCTTCCCACTAGGGGAGCCAAGGAGGCGCCGAGGTCTGATTCCCCCAGAGAGGATCAGCCGATGGGCCACCAGGGGATTCTGCCTTCCTCCTGTCCATCGGACCACAGATCCCGGGCCCAGCTGTCCTGGACCTGTGTTCTCAGTACCTCTGGCCACTTGCCCTGTCCCTCCCTGGCCCTGGGTTTCCTCATCTCTGCCTTCAGGGGTGGGGCGGGGACTGACACCTGACACCAGCCTCTGCCCCAGCCAGCCAGCCCCCTCCCCTCCCCAACCACAGTCCCTGAGCGCCCTCTGGTGGTGCAGAGGGTGGCTGATTCCTACAGGAACACCCCCAGGGAGGGGCTGTTACCCTGACTCAATGATAGGAAAATTGAGCTATCGAGGAATAGGTTAGAGTTGCAGAAATGAGACTGCCCCCCCATTATGCTCCTCCCACCAAGAATGCAGATCATTTTTGGGAACCCCACAAGGTCTGGCTTCTCAGAGGGAGAAGCCAGGGGCCTCACTCTTCTTGTCTGAAGCCACCCCTCAGCCCTCTGCAGGGCCCTTGGGACTCCCTGGGGCACATCCTGGGCCCCGGGGGTGGGGGTAGGGTGGGGTGAGAGCAGGGTGGCGGGGGGGGGCAGTCCCTGTGCTCACTGCAGCCATGGTGCAGCTTCATGCCTTGAGCCAAAGCTAGTGCGCCCCTCACGAAGCCCAGAGGGGACCCCCGACATGGAAGTCAAAGAGCGAGGTGAAGGCCTGGGGGTCCCGTGGGGGAGCTGGGGGGCAGAACACTGCAAAGGCCCTGAGGTGGGAGTGAGCTCTCAGCCTAGCAGGAAGAGAGGCAGGCGTGCTGGGCAGGGCCTTGTAGGCCATCGTCAGGTGTCTGCACTTGATTCTGAGGGAGCTGGGGGATTGGAGGCTGTGGGAGGGCGTGGTCAGCTTTTCCCCAGAACATGTCCATCACCACAGAAAGTTCTAGAGACAGCGCTGCGTTAGAGAGATCCAGTACTTCTGAGGCCAGCAAGGATGGGTTCAGGGGCTCTGGGAGAGCTGCTCAAGCCCAGCGGCCAGCCGGAGGCCCAGAAATAGCTGCTCATCATCACTAGGGCGGCCTCTCCAGAAAGCGCACCTGCACGTAGCCGCCTTCCACCCCGATCCACGGCCGACCGCGGTGGACAAGAGAGGACGGCAGCAGTGACAAGCCTGACTCTCAAGGCGACGTCACAGAAGGCGTCGCAGCTGCTTCTTGGGTCTCGGGAACTGGACTCCCAAGGGCGGAAGTTTAGGTTGTTGGTGGTGCAGGTCTCTTCTTCACTCATATAGACATTCAGTGCCAGAAATGTCCCACTACGCTCTGCTCTCATTGGATTGTACACAGCTTGTTCGGCTGTACGTTCATTATCATCTGGTGGAGAATATTTTAAGTGTCTTTTAAGTCTTTTTTTTTTGTATTTTTTCCTTTTTTTAAATTTTATTTAAGTTATACAGGCTTCATGTATGTCATGTATACAGATTTAGGGACATTGTGATACTTCCCACCCCACCCTCCCTCCCACACACGCTCCAACTCTTCTTCCTCCTCCCTCTCCCACTCCCACTCTTAGTTTTTACGAAGATCTACTTTCGGTTTACTTAATGATTGTAAAGTTAACCCAGCACTAAGTAAAAGAGTTCAACAAAGAGTGTGAAGAATAAAAACACTGTTCTTCAACGCAGAGACAAGGGCTGTAAACAATCACTCAAAATCTCAAAATGTCCTTTTCACTCCAATACATTCCATCGTTGCGTTTCAGGTACTCTATTAGCTACCTCGGATCAGGGAAAACGTATGCTATCTGTCTTTTTGGGACTGGCTTATTTCATTAAGTGTAATGGTTTCCAGTTCCTTCCATCTTGTTGCAAAAACAGGTTTTTTTTTTTTTTTTCAAAAAAAAATTTGTTGGTTAATCTCAGAATATTTAGGGATTTTCCAGCTACCTTTATGGTTTTGTTTTAGACTTTAAAAGTCCATTTTAAAAAAGTATCTATTTGAAAAGCAGAATGACAAAGAGGGAGAGACTGGCAGCGAGAGAGATCTTTCATTTGCTGGTTTGCTCTCCAAATGCCTGCAACAGCCAGGACTGGGCCAGCTTGAAGCCAGAAGCCCGGAACTCTGTCCAGGTCTCCCAGGTGGGTGACAGGGACCCAGGTACTTGAGCCATCACCTGCTGCCTCCCAAGGTGAGCATTAGCAAGAAGGTGACATGGAGCGTGGAGGCCAGGACTTGAACCCAGCTCTCCCTGATAGGAGATGCGGTGTCCCAGGTGGGGCTGCCCAGTCCCTTTCCCCTTTACTTTTGAAGGATCATTTCAGTGGACACAGAACTCTCGGATGTTGAAAAAGCCTTTTTCCCTTTTCGCACTAGACTATTTCTCTCCACTCTCTTGCTGGCTGCACACGTTTTCTACAGGGACGTCGGATGGGAGGGGTCTGTTAGGGTGACTGTCCAGCCTCCAGCTTCCCTGAAGGTTTTCTCCTTGCCTTTGATTTTCTGAAGTTTGAATATGCTAAACCAGGGAGTTAATTTCCTGGTCTTTGCCCTGTTTGGTATTCTCTTGAGATTCCGATCTGTGCTTTGGTGTATGTCAAAGAAAATTTCTCAGCCATTATCACTTCCAAATGCATCCCCATTCTATGCCCATTTTGGAAAATGGAAGAAATGTTCTCAGGACATCCTTGTGCTTTTTTTTTTTTCTTTAAGGAAAATAACACAAATTGCTCCAGGATAGGATAGCCCAGGATCTTCGTCGCGCTGGGTTACAGGGCAGAAGTGTTTCCTTTCCGATTCTCCTTGCTCCAGGAGATTCGACATCAGGCTCATATTCTGTGGATGATATGAGCATAAAGGTGATTGACTAAAATTTAGGTTAAAAAAAAAGCCAGAAAAGAAACTGCTACATTAAAAGGACTGGCTATATTTTCAGTATTTCTTCCTGGTGTGCACAAGGGATGACCCAGGCCGGCGAGGAGGCAAGAAACAGCAGCTCCAACAGCGAGAGTGAATCTTTCTGTCTACTCTGCCACCCTCCTCCCCCAGGGCCCACTTGATCCTGGGCTCCCAAGCACATCCTTTACACGCAGGGTGCCAGTCCTGGGCTCGCTCTTCCCGTTGCGTCTGACCTCTTCCGCTGGTTCTTAACAGAAGCCAGTGCTTCCTCACACTGACTCTACAGAGCACAGGCACACAAGAGCCAGCTTTTATTATATGTGATGGACGGGACCTACCAGGGTTCTGGGCGGTACCTAGGGAGGAGGGGGTGTCCCACCGCGGGCCTGGGGGGAGACGGGGGCAAGGACTTCTATCTACAGTCCTGAGGGCTCCTATCTACAGTCACCGCCAGCGTTTGACCAGATGACATCCTCAAATGACTCCTCCCTGAGGACAGAGATGCAGGGAAAAGAGTAACCTGGAAGGCTGTGTCCCAAGCAGGGATGGTGCCAGATCAGGACAGGGAGGAACACGCATGCTGGCTACCCTTCCAGGAGGTTCTTAACCCAGCCCTAGTCTCTTAGTTTTGAGCCCGGGGCGGTGGGGGGACGGACCCACAGGATGGCCTAGCAGTTCTGTGTGTAGCAGAGCAGAGCCCAAAGGGCAAGCTTCCTGCTCTGAGCCCTGTGGCCACCGTGTTGTGCAGGCCGATGTTTCTCCCATAGTGGTGTGCAGCCCTTGAAGTCCCATTCGTTTTCCTCTGATGCCAAGGGATCAAAAAGGTGGAACTCAGAGCCGAGGCTCTCTGTCTGCTCCTAGAACCCTCTGATGCTACTGCAACCCTCAGCCTCCAGGGGACCCAGCCTAGGCGCCCGGCATTTAGCAGTCAGTGCTGCCAGATGTCTGGCTGACGGTTGTTGGCAGCACCTGGCAGTGTCTGTAGCAAATGCAAAGGAAGCCAGGGGCGCTGGACATGCCGGGGAGGAACACAGCTGGTGTGGCCTCAAAGCCTGGCCTGGTGGATGCCCGCAGTGGGTATAGCAGGTTACGGGCTAGAGATGGGTGGTGGCTGGAGGGTGAATGGGCAATGTCAAGGTTGGAGTGGGGCCACTACACCTGAGGGCAGGCAGGTTGCTGATGCCTGTGGCTGAGGGGGCCGGGTGTTGGAAGGGACTGGGAAGAGGTGCAGAAGCTCTGAATGGAGCCACGGGGAGGCTCCACGAGGAGAGGCCAGGAAGGGGGATGTGGTGTCCATAGACAGGTCCTTAGAATCAGCTGGCTGAGGGGCTGTGATTCCTGGCTGGGGCGCCAGGCAGGCCCATGGACAGCGGCGGGGGCGCCAGGATTGCTGGTGGGAGAGGGAGCAGGAGAGGGAACTCCACTCCGGAGGGCAGGGAGAGTCACGGAAGGCAGAGCCAGCGCCTGCAGCAGCTGTGGCTGAGACCCTGGGGGTAGACAAGATCCTAGTCCTAGTGGTCATTTAGAGGGGACCACACCGGGATGGACCACGCCGGGGCTTTGAGATGAAGGGGTGAAGGTCCACCATGCCTGCAGGCGCAGAGGAAGCCAAGGCAGGAATTGCCTTTGGGTACTTAATGCTTGGTGCCGGGCCCGGAGCAGGAGCGAGTGGGTTGGGAGTTTAGTGTGTCTTGCCGACGAGGGAGAGGGAGCGGTGGTCAGCAAGTTGACTTGAGGGGCTGAGGGCAGGGGTGGTGGAGAGCTGCCTGAAAGGGGCTCTGAGGAGGAAAGGAGGGTCCCCTTATCAGCTGAGCTTATTCCTGGACGCTGCAGGCAATGCAAAGAGACAGCCCGGGGCACCTTGCTTTCTCCCGTGTTTCCTCAGCTGTGTGCTGGTGCTGGGCGCCGGAGGGGCGGTTGGCAGAGGAGTGGTCCCTGCAGCAGGCATGGACCTGCCTGGGTCACCTGAGGGCTGCCGTGGTTCCCAGAGCCTTGGCCTCACCCCTACAATGTGCTGTTGATATGTTGAGTGCTGGCTCCTTCTCCTGGTGGGGTGGGCAGTGTCTTCCCTGGTGACTTGGGGACCCAGCTCCGGGGTGGTGGCAGCCGCAGAAGGGGACCCTTGCACTTGCAGGTCCTAGAACTGTTGAAAGTGGACCAGAGATTCCTCAAGGTTGGTGGCTGCCCTGTTGTTGAACCTGCTGCCTGTTCATGTGGGATCCCCCTTCCGGGGGCAAACTCTGAAATGGTGCAGACAGATGAGGGCCCTGCTGGGTCACTGTCATAGGGACCTGGGTGCGGTGAGGGGGTAGCAGAGAGCAGGATGGGGCTGAGCCCTGTCCCTAGGGCAGCGGCAAGGGTCCTCAAGGAGAGGCCGTGGTGGTGCTGAATTTGGGACAGGGGCCCTCCGAGGAAGGTCTGGTGTTTCTCTAGGAATCTGCCTTGGAGCTCTGCAGAAGCCAGGGCCTGGGCACGCAGGACGAGAGGCCGCCATTGCCCGCCAGGGGCCTACATGCTGGCTGGGCACCCTTACAGCCCTCCTTTCTCCAGGGCTGTAGGGGCTCCCTCCTGCTCAGGCAACCCCTCCCTGCTCTTTCCGGTGGCCCTGGTACTGCTTTCCCTGTGTAGGAGACGTGGGCACGCCTGCGTGTGGTGGACCACAAAGGACTGGCTCCCTGCATCTGTGCCTGAGAGGACAGTTCTTTGCTGGGCCCTGGCTGAGCTCTGGGACATGGCAGCCCGACCAGCAGGCAGCAGTTGCTACTGTGCTGCGGGGCTGTGGATGAGGCCGGCACCGCCAGGAGGGTGCCTGGGGCCTTTGGAATCATGAATATCATTTTCAGGATGCATGGACACACAGCCCTCCATGGGCCCTTGGCTCCTTGTGGGACTGTGTGGCAGCTGGGAGACCTGGACCAACTCAGTGGATGGAACAAGTGGGCTTGGGGGCTGCTGGGCCCTCCCAGGGCTGGGAGCAGGGGTGAGGGACAAAGGGTGCCCAGGCAACTTGCCATAGTCTCATCCTGGATAAAGAGTTGAGCTCTGGGACTTCTGCTTTAGCAGCAAGCTGGGACAATGGCGGAGCCAAGATGCTGGGGTGCGACTGTGGCACATGGCACACAGGAAGGGGGCTGGTAGCATTTTTTTTAAAAATTTATTTGAAAGGTGGAAAGGCAGAGTGACAGAGATGGGGAGATAAAGAGATATTCCATCAGCTGGTTCACTCCCCGAATGGCCACAATTGCCTAGGTTTAGCCTGGCCAACGCCAGAAGCCTGGAACTCTATCTGGGTCTCCCCCACGGCAGCAGGGATCCAAGTATTTGGGCCATCATCTGGTGCCTTCCCAGGTGCATCAGCTGGGACCTGGATTGGAAGCAGAGCAACCAGGACTCAAACCGGTGCTCAGATATGGGATGCTGGGGTCCCAAGCAGTGGCTTAACCCGCCACACCACAAGGCAGGACCCCCAGAAACCTTTGCCATGGAAACCATTTCCCTGCCCCTCTGAGGCGTACATTTTTAAAAAAAGATGTATTTATTTATTTGAAAAGCAGAGGTAGAGAGAGGTCTTCAATTCACTGGTTCACTCCCCAAATGGCTGCAACAGCCAAAGCTACCCTGATCTGAAGCCAGGAGCCAGAAGCTTATTCCAGGTCTCCCATGTGGGTGCGGGGGCCCAAGGACTTGGGCTATCTTCTACTGCTTTCCCAGGTCATAGCAGAGAGCTGGATCAGAAGTGGAGCAGCTGGGACTCCAACCAGCACCCACATGGTATGCTGGCACTGCCGGCGGCAGCTTTACCCACTATGCCACAGCACTAGCCCGAGATGTGCAATATAAAGGTCTTCCTCAAAGACGTGAGAGCCACTGCCTTTGGAAGGTTATCCAGGCAGGTCTCTGGTCTCCCAGTCTCTGTGCAGGGTGAAGGAGCCTGACCCATCCCCGCAGACAGCAATTAGCCATCACAGAGGCCGGGGGCGGAGAGCAGCGCCTGTAGCTCAGGAGTGGCGCAGCGTCTGGACCCTCCCACGGTGGCCCCCAGTTGAAACCCTGCGTGGCTCAAAGTTCGGGCCGCCTTGGTGTATGGGGGTGTGTGTGTGTTTGGGGGGGAGCGCTGATTTCCCCCTGCGCCTGCTGTCACTCTGGAATTCTGTCCTCTCCCTGTTACACTTTGCCCAGGGTGATGTGAGGGCGGGGTCCTGACCCCACCCATTGTTACCTTACAATTTGCCCTGCACTCAGCCTTGGAGTCGGTGAAGGAGCTGTCTCTTCTGTGTTAAAAAAAAAAAAAAAATTATATTCACATCAGGGAGTTTAAGAGGAGAAAGATGGGCTGTCCCGTGTATCCAGATTTTTCCCACATTTTTTCCCTCCTCCCCGCCTCGAAGGGCCAAGCCTCCTGCTGTGCTGTTCCCTGAGAAAGTTCCTTTCCCATCATGTCGCTGCGTTTGGTTTTCTTCCATTTGTCACAACGCTTGCTTGTCTTGCTATTTGTTTTTATTTCAGTCTTAAGGACCCTTTGGCTGCATGCAGTATCCTGAGTTGAAAGTTCTTTCCTTCCCTTAAAGATGTTATTGCAATCACTCTGGCCTTGTGGTATGTACACACACACACACACACACACACAGGTGCTTCCAAAACTCCTTGCAAAATGGAATTAAAAGATGTTTATTTGGGTGCAAAAAGTATCTTTAGTCTACACTTACCAGGAGTACCAGGAGTCTTCAAAAGTTCATGAAAAACGCACATCATGAAAAAGATGCATAGGTTTCAAATGTTTTTTGGTATGGAAAATGAATACCTTTTCTGTTCACTTTTCCACAAATCTTCTGGAGCACAACCACAGTTACGTGGCTGGGTCCAGGAAGGACCTGGTCGGGCACTGCATTACCAGCCCACTTTGGCTTCTTTGATGCATCCCCACACCACGAATAGCCCCTGGGTCACATTTTGAAGACCTAAAAAGGTACAGCATGGTTTGTACTAACCATAGCCCAATGCTCCCCTTAGCTCACTTATCTTGGCCTATCGTCCAGGGCCTGGTGTCGTGGCCCTGGCCCTGTCCTGCGTCTGGCCGGGGCAGCCTGGTGTCCTGGGCTGGCCCTGCTGCCTCCCCGGCCTGTGCCCTTCCCACTCCACGAGGCTGTTCCTCCTGCAGGGAGCCCTCCCCAGCCTTCGGACGGTAGCATGTGCGAGGGGCTTTCTCGTCCCTGCTCCCTCTCCAGGCAGAGCTTCCCCACCCATCAGCAAGTGCAAGGTCACAAATATTAAGAATTTGTGATTTTCAGGAGGTCCTTGCTGTGGACGTATCCATTAGTTGAGCTGTGAAGAGTATTTTATGGACTATGACAACCATGGATGGTTTTATGTGAAATTACTACAAAATGTAAATTTTATTATACCTACAGCTGATGATTCTTATGGAACAGTTATTCTAAAAAGATTTAATTCTTCAATCACATCGATTTCATTTAAGTCTGGATTTAAATTTTTCTCCATCTTTATTGATGCATAATTGACAGTAAAAATTGTATCTGCTTAGGAAGTACCAACTGATATTCTGGTATATATATACATATATATATGCACTGTGAAGTGATTTCCAGAATCAAGCTAATTAACATACTCAACAGCTCATGCGCTTATCCCTTTGTGTGTGGTGAGAACAGCTAAGATCTATCCCTTTGCAAACTGCAGGTGTGCAATGCAGTATAATGAACTCTGATACCCTTGCTCTGTATTTGATCGTTAGAGTTTATTCATTCTGCGTAACTCAGCATCTCCCATTTTGCTAAATCCCAAGTGCCCAGAAATAACCGCTCTACTCTGTTTCTATGAGTTCAAGAGTTTTACATTCTGTATCTAAGTGATTTTGCATATCACCTATCTTTGTATATCTGGCCTGTTTCATCTAATGTAATTGAAGTAGCACCTTGACAGTAGGGACTCCAACTGGAGCCCCTGAGACTCCATTCTGGGAAGGCAGCCCCCCCGCCCCCATGAGACTATAAAACTGAAACTATAAAACTCTGGGATAATTGCGGCAAACTGCATCAACTTGGCAGAGCAGAGAAACCCCCTAGCATGATTGCTCAAGCTTGAAAGTAGGCTGCACCTGGGTTAATGATAAAGATGTGATTTGTCTATGTCCTACATACGATTAAAACCAATATTTGGGTTAATATCAAGATTATGGTATTGTCAAGATTGTAATTGATATTTCGCATAGGTTTTAGGTCACCTTGACCCCAGAAACTATGTACCCCCCCTTGATCCTAGCAAGCATGTAGTCCCCTTCTGATTTTGTGGTTTTTGCCTGTGCGGGCCAGCCACACCAGTCAAACGGAACCTAAGGGAGAGAGAGGGACTGAAAAGAGGGACAAGAGATCGCAGAGAATGGAGCCAAGACAACAAGGCTGATCAAGGCTCGTTTATTCCAGTGTCTCGGTGGTATTTATACATAACCAGCACAAAGAAGCACAAAAGATGACAACATACGTAAGCAACTTATTGGGGCTCTGGTAACACAGGTAATTTTAACAAAGTGTTCTTGATTAACATCCTCCTTCAGGATGGGAGTTTGTGACTTTCTTACCCCAAGAACTCCATGAGCCAAGACTGGCCTTGATTTGTCTAAAGGCTAGGCAGCATTTGCCTTTATAAACCCTGCTGCTTTGGGCTTTGGGGTTGAGAGTTCTTTAGGGCCTGAGCCCACTCTCAGCTGCCGGCAATAAAGGACCGGCAAATTGTATCAGTGTGTGGTGCTCCTTTGTTTGCACTCACTCAGTACAACATTGTGGAGGCCCCAGCGAGAGATGGAGACTTCCTCCGGGAGGACCTCGCTCCGATCCTTCCAGGTTGGCCACAGGGGAGGCGCCCGCTGATGATGTCCCAGGGCCCCATGTTCTGATTCATGGAACCGGGAGGCTCGGCTCGACCTCTTCGCTGACCAATTGGCCTCAGGTCCTCTGGTAAGTCGACTCCTGTTTTCTGGTGGTGCCTTCTGGGGATTGGAGGTCTGATGAGATGGCAGTACAGTCTCTGTTCCGTTTGAGCGTGACGGCGTTAGGATGGGAGACTCTGGTCTGGTTAAAGAAAGGCCTTTCCTGGATATGCTGGTTTCTGTTTCTGTTTCGTGGCCACTTTCCAATGTACTGTCTGCATCTTTAATCCCGGGAGGTAAATTCTTATTCCTGTCCTGCCTGTCTCCTTTAGTCCTTTGTCTTTGGAGTCTTCCACTAAGCATGGGCTCTGCTCAGTCTAAGGGGACACCTTTTCAGTGTATGTTCAAAAATTTCTCTCTTTTAAATCTAGAAAGATTGCTGCCTTAAACATTGCCTTGTCACTTGCCAAAGTTTTGTGGCTTGGTTTTTGCAGATCTGGATGAAAAATGACAATGGGTGATCCGCCCTGATGTGGATATTTTTCAATCTCTGGTTTATGTCATTGATTTCTAGCTGGAGTTTTGTAAAAAGAGTAAAATTCCGTGTAAACGTAATTTTGACCTTAATTCAGACAAAGGTGTGATATAATATCAACATCTTAAGTCACCAAAGTGTAACAGCCAAATATAAATTGGGTAAAGGTAAATGAGATAAATGTGTCTAACCAAAATGTTTGCATAAGAGTCCATAATAAAGAATAATTCGGGCCGGGGCCGCGGCTCACTAGGCTAATCCTCCACCTTGCGGCGCCAGCACACCGGATTCTAGTCCTGGTTGGGGCGCTGGATCCTGTCCCAGTTGCCCCTCTTCCAGGCTAGCTCTCTGCTGTGGCCCGGGAGTGCAGTGAAGGATGGCCCAAGTGCTTGGGCCCTGCACCCCATGGGAGACCAGGAGAAGCACCTGGCCCCTGCCATCGGATCAGCACGGTGCGCTGGCCACAGCGGCCATTGGAGGGTGAACCAACACCAAAGGAAGACCTTTCTCTCTCTCTCTCTCTCTCACTGTCCACTCTGCCTGTCAAAAAAAAAAAAAAAAAAAAGAAAGAAAGAAAAAGAAAAAAAAAGAATAATTCAAGACCACTTGAAAGTAAGGTTAAAATTTGATGTGTATTTTTAAAATGTTTTCTTAATTTGCAGACTTTTAAAGGAGTATTTCAATAGAACTCGAGAAATTCGCAGATAAAAAGCGGTCACAAGTGTAAAACTGTTCTTGGTAAGAAACGTTAAGAAAGAGTTTTAAAAAATAGGTTTAAGTTGTAAAAAGAGGTTAAAAAACAAGTTTAAGTTGTAAAAGGTGTGAGAAAATCACAAAAGGTAATGAAAGTTTTTCTGGATACAAAAGCTATTAATTAAAATATGATCCTCTGTTAAAACAGTGAGATTTTTGTCATACATATATATTAGTAAATATTTTAAAATAGTCTTTAAAATCTGTTAAAAAACTACAACATTTCCTTTTAATAGTTTTTATTTAATTGGTGACTCTGTTTTCTAGCCAGATCCAGTAAGTTCTCTTCTTTTTTCTATTTCTGACTCTGTTAAAATTGTTCCAAGTAATGGGATGATTCCATGTGCTAACTTATATTTAAGGATTTTATTTCCCATTTTAGTGAAACAGAAACATCAATTTTGTATCCTATTGATGTTCTATGTCTCTCCTTAAATTCTGATTGTTTAAAAACAGCTGTGTTTTGGTTTGGTTAAATATTCTAAAACATTTAAATGTTCACTTTGTAACAATAAAATCTGGTCTACTCATACAAATGTCCAAAAGTTATAAAAGTCTAATAGCTTTGTTATCCGTCACAATGGTTATCTTAATGAACAGAGGCCCAGAAGACTAAAAAGGGATTAAAAAAATCTTACAGGTACTTTCTAAAATACTATGTGGAGTAAACAAGTGCCTCTTCTTGTTGGTTAATAAGTTTTAAAATTTTAACCATGGCTACTTAAAGCCTTTTGTCATTCACAGGTTTATATTTTCCTCTAAACACTAAAAATCAACTGCTCATAAAAATTAAAACATTGTTGGTTCTGTGTTCTGTCCTTGTTTAAACCCTGCACATATAATCTGCTTGTTAAACTTGTTCTCTCTCAATGCAACTCTAGATGGCCATGGGCAGCTTCCACGAGCTGTGCTGCCACCCCCTCGAGAGGCCCCCTCCTGTGGGAACCCTGTCTTGACTGCCGTTCTCCACCCCACACCCTAAGGGGCCCCCAGGACAAGGACCCCCTGTCAGCAGGAAGTAGCCAAGATGAAATCAACGCTAGAGTCCTCACAATAGTGGGGTGTGGATTAAGTGGGGAGTGCTGAGGACGTCCAGTTGGGCTAAGTGTCTGTGGGCCCCTCAGGCTTTAACAAAATGTCTTATACATGCAGGCTGTACGCTGTGACAGAAAAGTTTGCTCTGAGACACGATCCCACCTTCCTCACTGTGGTATCCTGTACCCAAAACCACCACCCCCCTGATAACTCACGGTTTGCTTGCACAACGGGTTTAACTCGCTGTATGAAGTTGCCTACAACCGAAAAGCCTGTAACCTCTTTCTTACGTGGATCAGTACATGCGCTTCTGCAGGTGTATGCCTATTCTGGTGCGGAGGGAGGCCTGCTCCTCTCCTATTCTCTCACTGAGTTAAACCGAGCAAACAGAGCAGCCCCTCTGGCCGTCCCAATCCTGGTAGGCTTGGTTCTTGCTGAAAGAGCAGCCCTAAGCACTGCTGCACTGATTCAGGGGGAAGTGGGTCTCACTCATTTAACTGAGCCCATGGATGCAGACTTAGGTCACCTCCAATGCTCTACTGAACGCCTTCACGACCAGGTCAGTTCTCTCATGGACATGGTGCTGCAAAATAGGAGGGGGCTAGACCTCCGGTTTCTGACTCAAGGTGGCCTGTGTGTGGCCCTGGGAGAGGCTCGCTGTTTCTATGCTAATCAATCAGGAGTTATAACTGACTCCCACCAAAAGGCAAAACAAAACTTAGAAACTCACCATAAACAGCACAAAGACTCACAACCATGGTATAGTTGTATGTTTAATTGGACCCATGGCTGACCACCCTGTTAACTGGCCTGACAGGACCATTAGTCGTCCTCCTCCTTGGACTGACTGTAGGACCCTGGCTAGTTAACTGGTTACTAGATTTCATTAGACAAAGTATAGCTTCTGTTAAACTCATGCATATGCATACCTCTTACTCTGCCCTAAATATCCTTTCTGATCCATTTGATGTGGCTGAATCAAAGATTTGATTCATCTCAAGACACAAAGTGGGGAATGAAGTAACACCTTGACAGTAGGGACTCCATTTGGAGCACCTGACTCCACCTCCCCCCATGAGATTCTGGTCTGAAACTAGAAAACTCTTGGACAAAAGAGTCGAGAGTTCTTTAGGGCATGAGCCTGCTCTCCACCGCCAGCAATAAAGGACCATCAGGGGCCAGCACTGTGGCATAGCAGGTTAAAGCTCTGGCCTGAAGCACCGGCATCCCATATGGGCAATGGTTCTAGTCCAGGCTGCTCCTCTTCCAATAAGCTCTCTGCTATGGCCTGGGGAAGCAGTGGAAGATGGCCCAAATCTTTGGACCCCTGCACCCACGTGGGAGACTCGGAAGAAGCTCCTGGCTTTGGATGGGCGCAGCTCCGGCCATTGCAGCCACCTGAGGAGTGAACCAGTGGATGGAAGACCTCTCTCTCTGTCTCTACCTCTCTCTGGAACTCTGTCTTTCAAATAAATAGATCTTTAAAAAAAGTAAAGGACCATCAAATTTTATCAATGTGTGGTACTCCTTTGTTTGCGTTCGCTCAGGTACAACATAATGTCCTGTAGGTTCATAAATACCGCAGTGGCCAGGGTTTCCTTGTTAATTTTTTTAAGATATGTTTATTTGAAAGGCGAAGTGAAACACACACACACATACACACTCACATACACATGCACACAGATCTACCATCTGCTGGTTCACTTAAGATTTATTTATTTGAAAGAGTTACACAGAGAGATAAGGAGAGGCAGAGAGAGAGAGAGAGATTTTCCATCCACTGGTTCACTCCTGAATTGGCCTCAATGACTGGAGCTGCACCAATTGAAGTCAGGAGCCAGGAGCTTCTTCCAGGTCTCCCACACACTTGGGCCATCTTCTACTGCTTTCCCAGGCCATAGCAGAGAGATGGATCAGAAGTGAAGCAGCCAGGACTCAAACTGGTGCCCATATGGGATGCTGGCACTGCAGGCGGCAGCTTTACCCTCTATGCCACAGTGCAGGCCTCTGGTTTACATTCAAATGACTGCAACAGCCAGGGCTGAGCCAGGCTGAAGCCAGGAACTAGAACTCAGTCCAAGTCTCCCCAGTGGGTGGCAGAAACTCAAGTACCTGAGCCATCATTATCTGGATCAGAAGCTGAGTAGCCTGGACTGGAACTGGCAGCCCATATGGGATACAGGGTTCTAAGCAGCAACTTAACCTGCTGCTCCTCAGGCCAGCCCCTCCTCTTTTTTTTTAAAAAAAGCGGATTAACATGCCATTATCCACTCACCCCTTGACAGAGACTCAGGGTGTTTCTACACCTTGGCTATTGTAATATTGCAGTGAATATGGGGGTGCACATATTTCTTTGGCAAGCTGATTTCATTTCCCTGGAGCGTCCTGAATGTACCCAGTAGGTGGGATTGCTGGGTGGTACTCCCATGGTAGTTTCATTTTTTACCATTTGAGGAACCTCATACGACCTCCACATGGGAGTGCCTGGGTTTGAGTCCTGGCCTTGCTTCTGGTTCCCGCTGATGTACGTATACTCCGGGAAGCCGACGCTGATGACTCAAGTTCTTGTGGCATAGTGGGTTAAGCCTCCGCTTACGATGCTGGCATCCCATATGGGCATCAGTTCAAGATCTGGGTGCTCCATTTGTGATCCAGCTCCCTGCTAATGTGCCTGGGAAAGCAGCAGAGGATGGCCCAAATGCTTGGGCCCCTGTACCCATGTGAGAGACCCAGAAGAAGCTCCTGGCTTCAGCTTGGCCCAGCCCCAGCTGTTACGGCCATTTGGGGAGTGAACCAGCAGATGGAAGATTGCTCCCCTCGCTTTCCTCCTCTCTTTGTAACTCTGCCTTTCAAATTGAAAACATAGTAAATCTTTAAAAATAAAAGTTCTTGGGTCTCTGTCACTAGTTTGGGATATCTTGATTTAATTCCCAGCTCCTAGCTTCAGCCCTGGTCCAGTCCTGGCCATTGTGGGCATTTGGTGAGTGAAGCAGCAGATGAAAATTTTCTCTCTCACAAATGAAATTATTATTTTTTAACATTCAGGAAAAATAGAGTTAACAGATTTATTGTGGCACTTTTTTTTGAAATCCATGCATTCAAGTGGTTTTCAAAAAGTTCATGAAAATATATGAGAAAACCATGCATGAATTTCAAAAAATTCTTGTATGAAAATTATTTAATTCCATTTTCCACAAATGCTTTGAAGCTCCCTTGTATAAAACCATGGCAATTTAATCTTTTTTAAAAATATTTATTTTATTTATTTGAAAGACAGTTATAGAGAGAGGTAGAAACAGAGGTCTTCCATCCGCTGGTTCACTCCCCAGATGGCTGCAACAGCCGGAGCTGAGCCGATCCGAAGCCAGGAGCCAGGAGTTTCTTCCAGATCTCCCACATGGGTGCAGGGGCTCAAGGACTTGGGCCATCTTCTACTGCTATCCCAGGCCATAGCAGAGAGCTGGATCAGAAGAGGAGCAGCCAGGACTAGAACCGGCTCCCATATGGGATACTGGTGCTTCAGGCCAGGGCTCTGCGCCACAGCGCTGGCCCAGCAATTTAATCTTAATTTCATAGTAAAGAAATACCATACCATCAAGGTTAAGGATTTTATCAAGGTCACTGTCATCTCTTGGAGATAAAAGCCCCCTCCCTTCAATAACCAAATCAAAGTTGATGGGATTAACGGGAAGCTATCTGGGTGTGGCTAGGGAGGGGCGAGGGCTCCTACGAATAAAAGGCACGGGTGCCTCCTTTCCCACCAGACCTGAGTCACTGTGGGAGCAGCAGAGGACGAGGTGAACCCAGAGCCCAGCAGGTGAGCCCATGCCTGTGCCGTGTGTCCGTCTGTCCTCCCTTGTCTGCAGATGGCAGTCAGCCCAGGGGCTGGGGGGAGTCTGGTGACTGAGGAATTCAACAAGGGCTGTGAGTGCCCAGCAAGGGTTTGCCAATCCCTCAGCCCGGATTCTCCCAGCCCAGGAGTGGTGGGTGGGAGACCCGGTGTTCAGGGCCAAGGCTGCAGACAGGGTGCACTTTTGTTCATCCATCAGACGGCTGCTAGGGTCACTCTGGGGACAGCGCGATGACCTCCTCTGCGGCTTCTCACATAGATGCCGCCCTGTGAGGCGTCCAGGCACACAGGTGGTCCCTGCGGCGGGGTCCGGGTGAGCGGGGGCCCTGCCTCCTTCTCAGTGCAATGCCAGTGACGATCTGTGACGTCAGCTCTCTGATGACAGGCATCAAGGCTGCCGTCTCCTGGTCTTGCTCCAGGGTCACGATAACTCTGGCTGGACAGCTTGTCACTGCTGTCGGCCAGCAGTCACTCACTCCCGTGTGTGCTTCCCCCTGCAGCGGACATGGCTGAACTATTGCAAAAGATGTGCAGATGTCTCACCTGCCCGGCCTACCTTGAGCAACCCCTGAGCCTGGAGTGCGGCTGCAGCTTCTGCCCCGACTGCGTCCGCTCATTGCCGCAGGAGCCCCACGGGGAGGGCTTGGTCTGCAGCTTCTGCTCCAAGGTCTCGCGGAAGAACCACCTCAGGCCCAATCGGCGTCTGGGGCAGCTGGTGTCGAAGGTGAAGGAGCTGGAGCCCCAGCTGAGAGCCGTCCTGCAGATGAATCCCCGGATGCGGAGGTTCCGAGGTAAGGCCCTGCCCACGCTGCCTCCCTCCCGCTAGGGGCTGGGAAATCCCCTGTGCACCCGGCGCTCCACTCCACACGCGGAGGAGCCGCTGTCTGCAGCCAAGAACTGCTCTCGGGCCTTGGCGGTTCTCAGCCCCCGCACCAAGCGGAATCACCTGGTGACTTCTGACAAAAAATACCGGCGTCTATGGCGCGGCTTAGACCGGGGCTCGCAAAACCCACGGAGCTCACGCAACCTGGGGACTTAGTTAGGACGCAGGTTCTGGGAGATTCGGCGTGCTGACATCGCTGGCGTGGGGTCTGGGCTCAGATTAGCGGGAATTTAGAGCAACTGTGTCTGAACCTGGAAAAAACATCCTGAAATTAGGCCCTAGATACCTAGAACTGGCGCAGGGAAACAATGAAACAGAAATGTAGCATTTACTGCGCCAGCTTGCATCGTCTTCACTGTTAATTTGTCTTCCTGGGTCCGTAGAGGAGGGGCCTGGCGGCTGCCTTGGGAGACCCTCTGGTCACCTGGGAGGAAGGTTCCAGGCTGTCACCATATTCTGTAATGTAACGTGACAGTGGGTTCCTGCTGGGAACCAGGGCCTCCAAACATTGGAGCCAGGGAGGGAGCCCGGGAAAGTTGCTTTATGAAAAGTTACAGGTTTGGGGAAAAGCAAAATGGGAGGGATGGAAGAAAATGTGACATTTGGGGCAGGAAGTGCCCGCCTAGAACCTGTCTGTTAGCTGAGGTGCTTGCTTTTATTTCCCAGTGGACGTGACCTTGGATGCAGACACGGCCAACAACTTCCTCATCCTCTCAGATGACCTCAGGAGCGTCTGGTGCGGGCCCATCAGGCAGAATCGGCCAGCGCTCCCTTCGAGGTTCGACTTGTCCGTCTGCGTCCTGGGCACCCCTCAGTTCGTCTCCGGCCACCACTACTGGGAGGTGGACGTGGGGTCGAGCACAGAGTGGGACCTGGGGGTTTGCAGGAATTCTGTTTGCCGACAAGGGCGGATCCAGCTCTCCTCGGAGCAGGGCTTCTGGACTCTGAGTCGGAGGATCAGATGCTGTTTCTCTGCCAGCACCCAGCCTCAGACGCCCCTCTGCCCAGACCCCATCGTACGCCGAGTGGGGATCTTCCTGGACGTGGACGTGGGGAACGTCTCCTTTTACTGCATCGAAAACGAAGCCCACATCTTTACCTTCACGGGACTTCCTGCGGGGGAGCCGCTGCGCCCGTTCTTTGCTCCCTCAATCCCACCTAATGGGGATCAGGGCGCCCTGAGCATCTGCCCCGCCATGCACCTGGGAGATGCCGGCCCCTCCGACCAGCAGAGGGAGGACAGATAAACCCCCACTGCGAAGGAGCCTGGACGGGGAAACCCTTGGCGGCTGGACCTCAGAACTTTCTGCTTGGTGCAAATTTCACCAAGGTCACGGCAGAAAAGTATCGAGCTTTTCATGGCCATGACTAAGGTGATGAGATGAGATTCGTTAGGATATAATTAGTGACTACTGTCACCCCCAACTGGTTGGGTTTTATGTTTTGATTGCTAAATAAGTCCTGTATTCTCAGATCGATTTCCAATCTTTAACTTTTATTGCTGTTAAGTTCCACCTATGGTGTTATGGGGATTCTGAATTAAACAAACCTTTGTAGTTGATCGAATGGATTATGTTTTCCTAAATAAAGGTGTCAAACTCAGAAGTGGGAAAATGCCTTTACACTAGTCAGGACTGGAAAGACCATTTTTGACACTGCTACTCAGTGTGGCTAAGGGTTTTTTGGATGACAGCTCATCTGCACTAGTGGCAGTAACTTACCCACGGCCGAACGCACCGTTCTGTCTCAAATGGGAGTGTCAACAGCTGCAGCCATTGTGGAAGCCAGCATGGAAGTTCTTAAATAAATAGAAGGTGGAGGCTGGCACTGCAGCACCGTGACTTAGGCCACTGCTTGTGACAATGGCATGCTGTATCCATATTACATTGTGGCTGTTCTGCTTCCTAACCAGCTCCCTGCCAATGCCCTTGGAAGAGTAGCTGGTGATGGCCCATATGTTTGAACCCCTGACACTCACATGGGAGACCTGGTCCCTTGGCTTCCACCTGGGCCAGCCCGAGCCATTGCAGCCATTTGGGGAGTGAACTAAGTGGCTGGAAGATTTCTCTGTCTGTCCCTCTCTTTCTGTCACCCTGACTTTCAAATAAATAAGTACATAAATAAATCTTCAGAAAATGGCACCACCCGTGTTCCAGAAACCCCACTGCTAGGTATATATATCCTAAAGGAAATGGAATCTGTGTTAAAGAGACATCTACACTCACATTCATTGCAGCACTACCCACAGTAGCCAAGATGCAGACACAAGCTAAGTGCCAGGCCACAGATGAGAGGATAGGGAAAGGGCGTTCTATGCACATGGGGAAATACCACTCACCCTTCAAACAAAAGAGGGAGTCCTGCCGTTGAAAACAACATGGGTGGGGCTGGTGCTGTGGTTCAGTAGGTTAATCCTCCGCCTTCGGCGCTGGCATCCCATATGGGCGCCAGTTCTAGTCACAGCTGCTCCTCTTCCAGTCGAGCTCTGCTGTGGCCCAGGAAGGCAGTGGAGGATGGCCCAACTCCTTGGGCCCCTGCACCCGCATGGGAGACCAGGAGAAGCACCTGGCTCCTGCCTTCGGATTGGCGTAGCTCTGGCTGCAGCGACCATTTGCAGAGTGAACCAATGGAAGGAAGACCTTTCTCTCTGTCTCTCTCTCTCTCACTGTCTGTAGCTCTACCTGTCAAATAAATAAAAAAGAAAAAAGAGACAACATGGGTGAACCTGGAGGACGCTATGCTACGAGCCACACCGCAGACAGAGAGAAATACTGCACCACTCCCTGTGTGGCCAAATTCAGAGGAGCAGAGTGGAAGGATGGGTGCCGGTGCTGGGGTGGGGTGGGGTGGTGGAGACGAGATGTTCAGCTCTGTGGGTTCTGAGTGTCAAGTGTAGAGGGTGGTGAGGTTCTGGAGGTGTAAGGGACACAGGTGACCATACTGTCCTACCCTTGACATTCTCAAGAGAGCAATCTTCAGTGTCTTAATCCCCCTCTCCCACCAATAAGAAAGCAGTAATTGTGCAGGTGATGGACATGTGAGTTAGTTGCACCTTGGCCATCAATTCGCAATGCATGCTGCTATCAAAATGTCTCATGATATACCTTAAACAGAAGCCTTTTTTTTTTATTGGCTGACAGTAACCCATGAGCAGCATTTCCGGGGGGCGTGCTCGCAGTGTCGGGGGCGTGACTCCATTCGTGCCAAGGCCCCCCAAGCTGGCAGGCAGGAGAAGGGCATGCTGCGCCCCCTGCCGGCTGTCAAGGCGAACAACCCGGGACAGTCGCCCTCGAGTGCCCTCCTGGCACAAGGGCCAGGACACCGAGGCCAGCCGCAGGCGACCCTCCCCGCCACACTCATCCTGACCCCCCGGGTCAGGAACGCAGCCCGGGTCCCAGCCCAGCAGGACACAGCCGCCGTCGGTGGAACAAAGCCAGGCGCCCACAGCTGGGATCAGCGCCACGCAGTCCGTGAGCCGGCTCTGCCTCCGCACGCGCGGGGCCGTGGGCTGGCGCGGGCCTTCTCCGCAGGGCCCTGTGAGCTGGAGAGCCGCAGAGCAGACGACGCCCTGTCCGCCCTCTGGCTCCGCGTCCTGCCGTCTTCGTGGGCGGTTATTTCCGTCGTCCATCCTGGACTCCAGCTGACCTCTCTGGTCTCCCACGTGGTGGCAGGGACCCAGCTCTCTGAGCCCTGGCCTGCTGCTTCCAAGGGCATGTTTTATCAGAAAGCCGGAGTCAGCGGCCAGAGCACACAATCCAGCTGATATGGGACCTGGGCATCTTAACTGCACCCCAAACACCTGCCCCTTCTGTTTCTCTGAAGGCTCAGACACATCGAATCAGGGAAACTGAGGGCCTGACAGATAAATAACCAGCGAGTTGCGGAAGATCCCGATCTGAGAGGGAAGCGTTCATCGGCCCATCTCTGGGGAGCTGAGACCCCTTTGCCTACCCTGGGCTGTGCTTTATCCCAGCTCCTCACGCTGTTGGGGCCCTGCCTACAAGCATCCGGACAAGTGTCACACGCAAGGGCCCCTAACAAAGTAGTTTTCACAGTGCTGATTACAGTGTATTTATTTCAGTTTTCCTTTATCAGAATAGGACTTGAGAGTTGGTGATCTGTCTTTGCTTTCATTGGAAACAATCAGTCAGCAGCATTTCTTGGCTACCAGGAAATGCAAAATGCAAAATAATATAACCCAATCACAGAATTGCATAATCCAATCTCCTCCCCCAACCACCACTTTCGATTTAAATTTTTCCTTTTCTTGAAACTCCAATCACCTGTGAATCATCTAAACTCACAAGAGAACTCTTTTGAAGATTTAAAAAGACAAAACAGAAATACATCTCCTTTTATATAAGCTGTGATTTAAGGAAATTAGTAAGAATGTAAAAATGATCATTCACTTTTTTTAAAAAAAGATTTTATTTATTTATTTGAAAGTCAGAGTTATACAGAGAGGAGAGGCAGAGAGAGAGGTCTTCCATCTTCTGGTTCACTCCTCAATTGGCTGCAACAGCCAGAGCTGCGCTGATCTGAAGCCAGGAGCCAGGAGCTTCTTCAGGGTTTCCCATGTGAGTGCAGAGGCCCAAGGACTTGGGCCATCTTCTACTGCTTTCCCAGGCCACAGCAGAGAGCTGGATGGGAACTGGCACCCATATGGGATGCCGGCACTTCAGGCCAGGGTGTTAACCCGCTGTGCCACTGTGCCGGCCCCGATCATTCACTTTTTTTTTTTTTTGACAGGCAGAGTGGACCATGAGAGAGAGAGACAGAGAGAAAGGTCTTCCTTTGCCGTTGGTTCACCCTCCAATGGTCGCTGTGGCCGGCGCACCGCGCCGATGGGATGGCAGGAGCCAGGTGCTTCTCCTGGTCTCCCATGCGGGTGCAGGGCCCAAGCACTTGGGCCATCCTCCACTGCACTCCCTGGCCACAGCAGAGAGCTGGCCTGGAAGAGGGGCAACCGGGACAGAATCCGGTGCCCCGACTGGGACTAGAACCCGGGGTGCCGGCGCCGCAATCGTTCACTTTTGATATGAAGACTCACAAGGAAGAACAATGAGGGCCTTGGATGGCTGACTGCAACAGGGCTTGGATCTGTTTACAGAAGTGCTCAATACCAGCCTCACAGCTGTGGAGGAAACCTCTGATGAAGGAGCAGCTGTGGGCTGGTGAGGGCGCGTCTTGAAAATCCATCAGGTTCAGTAATGTCCTTGATCTAATGATGAGGTTGTTTTTACATTGTGAGCAAAAGGTGTTTGAAGCACAAACATTAATATTTCCACCAAATATTTTGTTTCAAATGTTTCTGCCCAAATTCCAGGTCTTGTCCTACACGGACATGATATTGGAGAGCTAGGCTAGAATCACAAAGCGCAACTATCTACCATGCGCTCTGCCTTGCATGTGGAACTTCCCTCTTATCAGCAAAACAGTCCTTTATCGGATTGGATCAAAAGGGTGTGAATCAGGAGGGAGGCGGGGCCTTCTGTGCACTAAAGCCACTCAGGAGGAGCTCACTCCATGTCTGATTCCTGGAATTAACATTCCCGGAATTAAAATTCACAATATATAAAGAATTCCTACAACTCAACAACTACAAAATCCAACAACTCAATTTAAACATGGGCAAAGGTATTGAACAAGGAAGATACACGGGTGGCCAAAAAGCCCATGAAAAAGGTGCTTAACATAAGTGATTAAATACAAATCAAATCCACTAGGAGACATCACTTTATAGCCATTTGGATGTCTACTACATTAAAAAAAAAAAGCACAGAGAAGTGTTGGGATATGCGCAGTGGGCTGGGCTCTGAGAAACAGCATAGGATTCTGGGTCCCTGAGCAGGCCTTCTGGAAATGGAGTGCATGGTTTTGTGGTGCAGGGGGCAAGTTTTTTTTTTTTTTTCCTTTTAAAGATTCATTTATTTGAAAGTCAGAGTTACACAGAGAGAGGAGAGGAAGAGAGAGGTCTTCCATCCGATGGTTCACTCCCCAGATGGCTGCAACAGCTGGAGCTGTGTGGATCCTAAGCCAGGAGCCTCTTCCTGGTCTCCCACGTGGGTGCAGGGGCCCAAGGACTTGGGCCGTCTTCCACTGCTTTCCCAGGCCATAGCAGAGAGCTGGATCGGAAGTGGAGCAGGCGGGTCTCGAACTGGTGCCCATATGGGATGCCGGCGCCTCAGGCCAGGGCTTTAACCCCTTGCGCCACAGCGCTGGCCCTGGGGCGGGGGCAAGTTTTAAGTGGAGCCAGGGGGCTGGATAAAGAGCTGGAGGGGCAGTGATTGGGCTCGGAATGGGCGAAGTTCCGGTAATTAGGTCTTCTGGGGAAATCTTCACGCAGCGAGGGGACGCGCCCCTGTAGAGCCTAGGGGTTCCGCGTGCAAAGCTCTAAGAACACGTCAAGAACACATCCAGAAGGGGTGGCATGGTTCCTTCCCTCCCGCGAATGACTTAAACCAATCACCAGATTGCAAGCGCTTGAGTACGGCTCACCTGGATCCCCTACCTGCATCACTCAGCGCAGCCAGAGGGGGCGCTAGGGAGCGCGCAGCACAGGGTGGAGGGCGGGCTCACCCTCCTGGAAGTGGGCGTGGCTACTCCCTCCCTCCGGCCCTGGTTGGGCCCCGTGGAGCCGAGGGGCGGAGCCTGCCCTTCAGGCGCAGCTGGCGGCTTTCCTCACGGCTTCCCTTGGCTGGGGGCCCGGGTCTTCTCAGCCGTGACGTCGCCTCAGACGCCTCGGCCCGGTAAGCGGGGCCGTCGCTGGAGGAGTTCGCGGGACGCGCTGGGGGAACAGTTTTCTTGAGTTTCCAGTCCCTCGAGGCCTTACTGACTAGAAAGTGCTGTGGCCCGGCCCTTGTGGCGGAGGACTGTCCGTGTGTGCGGGCAGCGTCCCCCGGGCGTGTGGGTGTGTAGTCCCGCGCCGCGCGCTGGGATGCGCGGTGACACACGCGGTGGAGCGTAGTGACAGGTACAGCGACAGAGCGATGGGTGGTGAGGTAGGAGGTGTAGTGGCGTGTTGACGACTGGTGACGGATACAGCGATACGATCGTTACCGGCCCACCGTGGACAGCCAGGTCACCGGGGGCGAGAGCTGTATGTATGGCATTGTATGTGTAGACATGTGTATCACTGTATGTTACTGTAGCCCTCTCCATATATGCGTGTGTGTGCATGTGTGTATATATGTGTGTATATATCATATATATAGTTTTGTGTGTGGTGTTTCCTGTTCTTTTTTTTTTTTTTTTTTTGACAGAGTTAGTGAGAGAGAGAGAGAAAGGTCTTTTTTCCTTTGGTTCACCCCCAAAATGGCCGCTATGGCTGGTGCATTGCACCGATCCGAAGGCAGGAGCCAGGTGCTTCCTCCAGGTCTCCCATGCGGGTGCAGGGCCCAAGCACTTGGGCCATCCTCCACTGCACTCCCAGGCCACAGCAGAGAGCTGGCCTGGAAGAGGAGCAACTGGGACTAGAACCCGGGGTGCCGGCGCTGCAGGCGGAGGATTAGCCTAGTGAGCCGCGGCGCCGGCCCTCCTGTTCTTGAGCACATAATTCTCCATCTTACCCCTAAGAGGTTTTTTTTTTTTTTTTTTTTTGACAGGCAGAGTGGACAGTGAGAGAGAGAGAGAGACAGAGAGAAAGGTCTTCCTTTTCCATTGGTTCACCCCCACAATGGCCGCTGCGGCAGGCTCATCACGCTGATCCGAAGCCAGGAGCCAGGTGCTTCTCCTGGTTTCCCACGCGGGTGCAGGGCCCAAGGACTTGGGCCATCCTCCACTGCCCTCCCGGGCCACAGCAGAGACCTGGATAGGAAGAGGGGCAACCGGGACAGAATCCAGCGCCCCAACTGGGACTAAAACCCGGGGTGCTGGTGCCACAGGTGGAGGATTAGCCTAGTGAGCCGCGGTGCCAGCCTAAGAGTTTTCAATCGGGAGTAAAGGTTGGGGATGAGCCATGCTTTCTGAGATTTGGCTCAGTATACTTCAATATTCACAATTGCTTTCTGTCTTTTTTTTTTTTTTTTTTTAATCCAGGCCTGGTGTCTGGGACAGCATTTAAGCTACCACTTGGGACACTCATATCTCATATCAGAGGGCCTGGGTTCAAGTCCTGCTTTCATTTTTAATTCCAGCTTCCTGCTAACGTGTGTGCCCTGGGAGGCAGCAGGTGATGGCTCAACTATTTGGATCCGTGCCAGTCAGTTCTGAAAGTTATTGGAACCATGGAAGTGTAACTGCCAGGCTTTTTAGTATAGAATTTCTCAGTAAACAGGAAAATGACCAAAATTGGCAACATTTCTAAGATTGAATCGAAATAGCTGGGGGAAAAATAAAGGACACGTAGCAACATTTATTCAGAATTATTTGGAGTCTGTTTTCCTTGGTGTTGTTATGCTCTGCAATAATCAGGCTCTGCTGCTCACTCCTGGACAGCCAGCTCACCAGAGAGGAGAGGCCGTAAGAGGAAGGCTTTATGTCAAGAAGCCAGTAGTCTGGGGGAGAGAGTGATTTCCAGATCCAAAATGTGTTCTTTCCCTCCCAACAAGCCAGCAAAAAAGGGTTTTTCAAGGGAAAGGGTAGCTTCAGGTGGAGGTGAGGAAAAAATGAGGCCGATCGATAATTAAGCAGCTCTTCAGGCTTTGTTCTGGTGTTGGTCAGTCCAGGGGACCCAGGGCATTAGCCAGGTTCTTGATAAGGAGCTCGGCCATCTGTAGTTGATGGTTGTATCCTTCTCCTCAGCTGGGTGTGAGGTCGGCCATTCCTAGTCATTCCTTTCAGCAGGCTCCTGGAATTCTTATGCAAATATGATTTTTTAAAAATTATTTATTTGAAAGGCAGAGTTACAGAGAGGGAGAGAGAAGGAGAGAGAGGCCTTCCATATGCTGGTTCACTCCCCAGGTGGCCTCAACTGCTGGAGTTTTGCTGATTCGAAGCCAGGAGCTTCTTCTGGGTCTCCCACATGGGTGCAGGGGCCCAAGGACTTGGACCATCTTCTGCTGCTTTCCCAGGCCATAGCAGAGAGCTGGATCGGAAGAGGAGCAGCGGGGACTAGAATCGGCACCCACATAGGATGCTGGCACTGCAGGCGGCAGCTTTGCCTACTACACCATTGTGTCAGCCCTAACAAACATCATTTTTTAAAGTTGTTTTTTTTTTTTTTTTTTTTAGTTTTCAAAGATTTATTTGAAAGGCGGGTGGGGGAGGGGGAGAGGGATAGAGGGATGGAGGGATAGAGAGAGAGAGAAGAGATCTTGCATTTGCTGATTCACTTCTCAAATGGCTGCAATAGCTGGGGCTGGGCCAGGAGCCTGGCCAGGTCTCCCATGTGGATGGCAGTGGCCCAAGTACTTGGGCCATCTGCTGTTCTCCCAGGTGCATTAGTAGGAAGCTGGATAGAAGTGGAGCAGCTGGGACTCCAGTGGGTGCTCATATGGGATGCCAGTGTTACAAGTGCTATAATGCTAGCCCTGCAAATATTATTTACAAGATTAATCACAGGTAATTCACAATGTCAGTAATGGGTTTCTGTTATACTCTGAGATGGATTTTAGCAAGCCTTTTTCTTTTACTTCTGAAACAAGTTCATAAATCAAATCCAAGGGTACTTTTAAACATTCATGGAAAATGTAATTAAAAGATTATAAGTTTCGGGGCCAGCGCTGTGGAGCAGTGGGTTAATGCCCTAGCCTGAAGTGCCGGCATCCCATATGGGCGCCGATCGAGACCCGGCTGCTCCACTTCCAATCCAGCTCTCTGCTTTGGCCTGGGAAAGCAGCAGAAGATGGCCCAAGTCCTTGGGTCCCTGCACCCATGTGGGAGACCCGGAATAAGTTCCTGGCTTCAGATCGGCGCAGCTCTGGCTGTTGCGGCCAACTGGGGAGTGAACCATCTGATGGAAGACCTATCTCTCTCTTTCTCTCTCTTTGCCTCTCCTCTCTCTGTGTAACTCTGACTTGCAAATAAATAAATAAATCTTTAAAAAAAGATAATAAGTTTGCTTTATTTTGAAAAATCGGAAATCCATGCCTATGAGGGGGCTTCAAAAAGTTGATGAAACATGTATATTAAGAAAAAAAGTATACATGGATTTCAAATCATTTTTTTTCAAAGATTTTATTTATTTCAGAGGTCGAGTTACAGACAGTGAGAGGGAGAAACAGAGAGAAAGGTCTTCCTTCCGTTGGTTCACTCTGCAAATGGCCGCAAGCCAGGATCCAGGAGCTTCCTCTGGGTCTCCCACACGGGTGCAGGTCCCCAAGGAGTTGGGCCATCCTCCACTGCTTTCCCAGGCCACAGCAGAGAGCTGGACTGGAAGAGGAGCAGCTGTGACTAGAACTGGCGCCCATATGGGATGCCAGCGCCACAGGTGGAGGATTAACCTACTGAATCACAGCGCCAGCTGCTCAAATCGTTTTGCACCAAAATAAACATCCTTAAGTTTCTTGGGGAAAGGTTTAGAAACTTAAAAAACTTACCTCGTCAGGCTTAGGAAAAAGCCACGAAGCTGTGACCTGTAGGGGGTTTTCCTTAGCTTCTCATCTACCAGGGAACTTCCTGTTTTCCAGTTTTCTTATCTGTCAAAGGAAAGCTTTGGGGTTTGCTATCTTTGTTTTTCCCAAACTCTGGAGCACTAATTTGCGTTTATCCTTTCCTTTCATTTTCTCTGAAATGCAAAATGACACGGAGCTGACTTGGGAATTCGTCCTTTCTTTGTACCGCTTTCCCTGATGTACTTTGCAGGGTTCTCGGGGTATGTGCTGCTGATTTGGCTGCATTTTAGGGGAGCGGACAGAAGGCCAGGCCATTCGGTTTTCCCTCCTTGGAGCTTTCCATTTGTAAAGGTGAGTCTTTGAGCTTGGTGCATAATTCTAACGTACTTCCTGCCCTCCTGCAGACACGGTGAGGTGAGTGGTACCACAGAGCCAGTTTGGGCCCGTGTTTGGACAAGCGGTGAAAAATGAGCAGAGTTGTGATGACCTGTGTGCTTCTTACATGACCTGGGACGGTGGCTTTTGTGTTGCCACAATCAGAGAGGCGAGTGGAGGAGGCGCATTCCTTGTGCACTTTGCAAAGGTGAGTGGTTATCCTGCCAGACACCCCCTGAGAACCCGGTCTGCTCTCAGCAAACAGTTATCTTTAGAGATGGATCATTCACTAGAACTTTCTAGACTTTGACGTGGCTAAAGCTCAGTTCCACGCTCCTAGGTGCCCCCAGGGGTTTCCACGAGCGGTGACTCTGGGTAGGCCTGCCTGCCAAAGATTCCTGCAATTGTCTGAGTCCAAGCAGATCCAGGACTTCCATGATTTGGTTCACAGTCATCTACTTTTCACACAACTTTTAGAGGGTAGTTTTTAGAACTATCCTGTTTTAAAATGGGTAGAAATTTGTAAGATATATTTTTTGGAGAAGTCATGAGGGCTGTGGTTTAATTAATGTTTTTTTTTTTTTTTTTTGAAACACAAATGGCATAAGAGCTCAAGAAAGTGTCCCCAAACAGTACAAATAGTCAAGGTTGGACATCAGTAAACTTTGGCATAGGCTGTAAATGGTGTTAAGAAGTGGGAGACATAGAGGGTCTTTACAGAGAGTGAATCTCTGCAAACCCCAACTTGTGTGGCCTTTTCTTCTCCCAGACTTGCTCCAAGGCGGTGGAGAAGGTAGGAGATTTGTTCTTTGCTGACTGCAGTTGAATCCTGTAGATGGAAATCCTTACTTGCTTTAGCAGGAAGCCCACCCCTTCCTTCCCCGAAGGCTTGCAAAGCATTGTGACTAGGAACAGTTGTGTGCTGGTTGGCTTTTAGGAGGAGCCTGAGGTTGTGCGTCCTGACCTCCAAGACCAGGGCTTAGTGGTGATGAGAATGCAGGTGTTGAACTTCCATTCAGTGGAGGAGTGGATGCCCCTGTGTCTGAGCCATGCATATCAGGGGTACATCTTGCCATTGTGGCCCATGGGATTCTGAAAGTAGACACAATAAAGTGATATTTTTTGGGTCCAATTATGGGTTCCCACTTTACTTTGATGTGTTTTCCTGGGGAAATTTTCTTTTTAAAAATTTAATTGGAGAGTCAGGGAGATAGAGAGATAAAGAGAGAGAGATACAGAGAGAGAGAGAGAGAGAGAGAGAGAGAGGCAGGCAGGCAGGCAGGCAGAGAGCTTGTTCCCATCCACTGATTCACTCCTCAAGTGCCTACAACAGCCAGAGTTGAGCTGGGTACAGAGCCAGGAACTGAATCCAGGTCTTCCATGTGGGTGGAAGTGACTCAACTACCCAAGCCTCCTCTATGTCTCATAGGGTCTCCATTAACTTCTTTTTTTTTTTTTTTTTTTTTTTTTTTTTGACAGGCAGAGTGGACAGTGAGAGAGAGAGACAGAGAGAAAGGTCTTCCTTTTGCCGTTGGTTCACCCTCCAATGGCCACTGCGGCCGGCGCACTGCGGCCGGCGCACTGTGCTGATCCAAAGGCAGGAGCCAGGTGCTTCTCTTGGTCTCCCATGTGGGTGCAGGGCCCAAGCACTTGGGCCATCCTCCACTGCACTCCCAGGCCACAGCAGAGAGCTGGCCTGGAAGAGGAGCAACTGGGACAGAATCTGGTGCCCCGACCGGGACTAGAACCCGGTGTGCCGCTGCTGCTAGGTGGAGGATTGGCCTATTGAGCCGCGGTGCCGGCCTCCATTAACTTCTAATTCTCCAATATTTTTCTGTCAAAGGCACTCATGACTGATTTTTCATAAAACGAAAATCTCTTATTTTTAGTTCAGGGACTGCATTGATAGAATATTACAAAATAAGACCATTTTGTTATTTAAGTTGGGAGAGGAACTTATTTGGGGAAGAGATTTGCTATGTGTTTCCAATGTACTTTAGTACTGGCAATGTTGATCAAACTATAATCACAGGGAGCGCACTTAGCCTCGTGTTTAAGGTGCCCATTGAGATGCATCCCATCAGAATACCTTGGTTCAATCCTGGCTCCAGCTCCTGATTCCAGCTTCCTGCTGATGCAGACCCTGGGAGACACTGGTGGTGACACAAGTAATTCAGTTCCTTCCACCCACATAGAAGACCTCAGTTATGCTCCTAGCTCCTGGTTTCAGCCCTGGCCCAGCCCCAGTTGACTGTGGGTGTTTGAAGAGTGAGTCAAATAAATAAAAAATAAAAATTGCATAAATAAAAATTTATGCCTGCTTGCCAGACGCACAGAGCAGACTGCCCCCTGCCAAGTTCCCACTCCCCAGCAGGGGGCACTATGGAGCAAAGCCTGCTCAGGTGATTGCCAAATTGGGCGAGGTCAGGTCTTTGCGGAAAGAAGCAAGGCTGGAGTTCTTGTCTGCTGACTCAGCCAAAGGCAGATCCCACAGATCGACTCGTTACTGGGAGATATTTGTGGAACATGAGATTCTCTGTGCTCAAAGATGGAGCAAGGGACGTAGCCTGGGGAGGAAGGGGTGGGTGTGGCGGGCACTCAGGGATGTATGCACAAGCCTGCGGCTTGGTTCTGGAACTCTCTGCTGCTGCTCGTGGTTGAAAGTGTTTGGCATGAGGGAGACAGGCTTATTGGGAGATTCAGCCGGCCTTCCCTCACGGGGGCCACTGCAGGATGGGGTCCCTTGAGGCAGAAGGGCAGGAAGTGCTGAGATGTCAGGCTAAGTTCCACAGGGCCTGCCCAAGGTGGCAGCTTTGGGGTCAGTGCCTGTCAGTCTTCTGCCCTTTGCCCAGGGTGCTGGGGAGGCCTCTTAGAAATAAAGCCCAGGGTGTTGAGGACCTTACAGGGTGGGGTCTCCAGTGAGGAGAGAGCAGCCTGGGACAAACCAACCATGGGACCCGGCAATCCTCTCACTAGGTCTTTACCCAAGAGAAATGAAACCTTGTGCATCAGTCGTCATTCACCCCAAACCTGTGAGTGTTCTTGGCTGCTCTGTCCCTGTCTCCTGGACTTAAGGTTTCCCAGTTGATCCATCTTGTCCTGATGTGTTTGGAACTGTTTTCAGGTAGTAGCTCTGAGAATAACAGTCTGTAAACCACACTTTTCAGTGTAATTAGAGTTGAGCCTTACCAACCACGTAACGTGTGGAAGCCTTGCACCTACATAAATCCACTTGCCTGGTGCTCTTAGGCTTGTCCAGTGTGCTCTCTCTGCGTGCTCTGATGCCCTCTCTCCAACAATGGTATGCTTTCTGTTTTCAAAAGTCATCGTCCAGAACCAGCTCACCATGGAAACAGAACCCACAGTGCTGCTGGATTCTCTGCGAGGGGACACGCACCTCGTCCTCCCAGTCCTCTTGGAGCTGGGAGTTGTGTCTCACAAAGGCATCCAGCCTTCCCCAGGGGTCTCACCAGGTCCTGATGGGCTCCATCTCTGCAAGGCCAGCTTGCACCTTGGAATAAATCCTTTCTGCTCTGCCCCACCCTGTAGCGGACACCTTCTCTTTCTCTAAGGGGCTGAAGTGCTGGAGAGAGGGACAGGGACAGAGAGAGACTCGTCCTCCTCTGCTCGGGGTGAGGGGGGCTGAAGCCCTTGTAGCAGCTTCTCACGTTGCTTCTCACTCCTGGGCTTCCTTATGTGGTCTGCAATCTGTGTTCATGGTAGATCATGTAGAAAATGCAGATAAATGAGAAGGACTCCATAAGTAGCATCCCGTAAAATACAATTCCAGACACAGGAACTCTTGCTGTTTATGTGTGGGTGCATGCCCCTCCAAGTGTTATTTCCGGGTGGGCCCTGCTCCCCATAATCTCATAGGAAAGAGGGAATGAATTCATCAAGGGCTGGAGGTTTCTTGCAACAACTTCATGGTGAAGCACAGTTTAGGGAAGACACATGGGATTTAAAATATCTCCCAGAGTGTGAGGACTGGGGCCTAAAGTGGTGACCCTGTGAAATCAAGAAAAGAAGAGTCAAACTGAACTCTGACTTCCTGGTTATGCCTTAGAAGACGGCCTTAACCTTGCATGCACAGATGGCGTTAGGCTTGAGTGTTTCCGCCACTGGAAAGAGTCACACGTGGCTATTTGGGAGGTCACAGATACACACCGATGAGATTAATAATAATAATAAAAAAAATCCCAATGCCGATGAATTCCTCACTGCAGTTTGTCAGGAACTTCATGGTTCAAAGAGTCCAGTCTCTCTGTCTACTGAGATGGAGAAGATGCTGAACCCCGGACACATGGCTTTGAAGATTCCAAACCTGCTTTGGAGATGAGAGAAACACCGGTGGGGGGGAAGCCTGGGGAGGTTGGAGGAGAACAAAAAGGGTTTCTATGCGTGAACTGGAAGCCTGCAGTGCTTGTGCGTCACTCGTACACATAAACAGATGCTCCTGTCTCAACCTGGAAGTCGACTATTGCAAGGCCACGCTTTCTTTAACAGTCTATACCGGCAGGATCACTCCAGCATTCTGGGAGGTAGTTTTTATCATGACGTTGGGGAAAGTGACTTTGATTTGGGCTCAGCTTGTATTTCACTGTTGTGCATATATTCATATTTTTCAAAATCTGGAGTGCTTTATACATATCCTGTAATCAACCTTTAAAATCCAATGTTTTATGTATGTGTATCTCAAACATCATAATTTGGGGATCCACATAATATACTACAGTATTGTTTTGCTGTGTTTTTATCCTTGTGAGTGTGTGTGTGTGTGTCTCTGTTCATGCATGCTTTGCTTCCTCTTCTCCATCCTCTCTGTCTCTTTCCACAACCTCCATGTCACAGATATGGCTGCCTGGGCTTGGGGACCTTTTTCAGAGGAGAGATCCAGAGAGAAGCTGCCTTAGGGTCCTGGCTTGTTTGGTCCTAATGGTGCCTGCTGGGCCAGTCGCTCCTCCTGTTGTGTTTTCTGTCATACCTGGAACATCACAGTTGCTGCCTCCTGTGTCTACACTTTGGCCCAGGTACATCTCTGCTCCAGCCTGGGAGAATCTTCCATCCCTGCACCAGGAGTGGCATGGCCAGGGGAGGGTTGGGGCCTGTGGCCAGGTCCTTCGTCCAGCCTGGGCCCAGCCCATGCTTGGTGCTGTAGGGAATGCAGCGGAACCCACACGATTGTGACTTCCGGGGCCCAGTAGATACTGTCCAAGGGGATCAGGACATTTAGAAGTTGCCTTAGGGGAAGGATTTTCTCCATCCCTGACTTTATTCCCACAAGTAAGTCCTCTGATCAGTGGTGGGTTGTTTATTTGCTTTGTGTTCTTGAGAGGCAGCATTGTGATTTGGGAAGAGCTGATTTCTGAGATACCTGAGTCCGAATTTTAGCTGTGTGACTCTGGGCAAGTCACTTTGATTCTTTGAGCCTCTGTCCAACAATCGGACTAGCAGTCCTTGCCTTAGAAGGCTGTGGCGATGAAGGCCGTGGATGGCGAGCTCTGGGAGACAGTAGGCATTCAATAAATGATGATGCTGTCAGAAAAGTGTGAGGCCTGGCTGCTGATGTGTGGCCCACAGCTGGGGAGGATGCCTTGGCTGTGCCCTGGGACAGAGCCCCTGACTGCCCTGGGGAGGACGCCTTGGCTGTGCCCTGGGACAGAGCCCCTGACTGCCCTGGGATCTGGAAGCAGCAGAGGCAGTACTCTTGGCTGAACCCAGGCAAATGAAGTACAACATGAGTGATGTGCCTCTGCACCCACAGGAGCTAGAGACCCAGCACCCAGGGAGGCAACAGAGAGGGAGCGAGACCCCTCTAACCCCCATTAGCACATGGGGGTCCTTGTTGTTGCCCTTGGAGCTCTTCTACCTCTTTATGGAGGCACCCAGCACCTGCAGCTCACCTTCCTGGCTTCTGTGCTAACCTGTGTCCCAGGCTTAACACTTTCTGCTACCAATGCCATTGTGTCACTTTGTCAATTTCCCTTCTCCTCCACTAGGTGCTGCTGTGCACCCACCCATGTCACTGCCATTTCTCATTGCTGAGAGCCTAGTGTGGTAGAGACAGACACGGGAGCAAGAAGTCCTGGGAACTGGGGCCAGCCAGTTCTGGAGAGTTCCCAGAAGGTGGAGTGCAGGCCACACTGTCCACCAGGGCTCTCTGACACTGATGCCAATGCCATCCCCTGTTGAACACCTACCATGCACCTGGCTCTTTTCACAAATTAACTGCTGTGACCCCCACAGGCCCCGATGATGTAGGTTCCTTTCCCGCATACAAGGAAACCAAGTTTGGAAGAGGTGATATGACCTGCTATGTGTCACACAGCATATACCTGGACAGGATGTGAACAAACAGAGACTTTTGTCTAATTCTAGATGCCAGAATAGATCCTGTGAGTGTTGTCATGTTACCCATAGAAGTTGCTGTTTGTTGAGCTCCTCCTGTGTGCTGGGCACTGGACACAACTTGGAGAAGACAGATGGGGCAACTCCATAGGTGGCTTGACCTGGACCCACTATCTGGGAACTCTGGGGCAGCTCTGGTCCCCAGCCCCCAGCACAGAGTAGGGCCTCAGTTAATGTTGGCTGGTTGAGTGATTGGCAACAGGTAATAAAAGGAGTCCTTTGTCCTGTGTCTTTTGAGTTCCACAAAAGATAGCTGGAGGACAAATACTGCTCCTTGTCCCATCATTGGCCCCACCTCTGTGTATGTTGGTCCAGCCACACTGAGCTGTCCCACAGGTCCCTTCTGCTGCTGCCTTGCTGTCATCTGTAGGTGGTGGTATAGGGTTATTGTTCCCAGGACTACTGCCTCTTCATTGACCTCAGTATTTCCTGGCGCCTTCAACATTGTGGAGAATGTGACGAATTCTACAGCAGACTGCTCCAGAGGAACACATCCATGCCTGTATTTCAGGGGCTTCCTTGACCCTAAGTTAAGAATCTCTGCTGTAGAGGAGTCTGTAAGACCCAAGAATTCAATCTCACCTGTGGAATCAAGGAAACAGTTTTTTTTTTTTTTTAAAGATTTATTTATTCATTTGAGAGGCAGAGAGAGAGGTCTTCCATTCACTGGTTCAATCCCCAAATGGCTGCAGTGACCGGAGCTGGGCTGATCTGAAGCCAGGAGCTTCTTCCAGGTCTCCCACGTGGGTGCAGGGATGCAAGCACCATCTTCCACTGCTTTCCCAGGCCATCAGCAAGAAGCTATATCAGAAGTGGAGCAGCCGATCTTCTGTATATTAAGATAATCGAAAATGAATCTTGATGTGAATGGAAGGGGAGAGGGAGTGGGAAAGGGGAGGGTAGTGGGTGGGAGGGACGGTATGTGGGGGAAGCCATTGTAATCCATAAATCATACTTTGGAAATTTATATTCATTAAATAAAAGTTAAAAAAAAAAAAAAAGAAGTGGAGCAGCCAAGACTCAAACCAGCACCCATATGGGATGCTGGCGCCACAGACGGAGGCTTAACTTACTATGCCACAGTTCTGGCCCCTCAAAGAAACAGTTCTTACTGAAATGCTACCAAGTACCACGTACAACCACAGCTTCCAGATGACTCAAGAGGGAGCCTGGGCAGCAGCAGGTCCAGTCAATGGCCTGGCAGC